CCTAAACAAAATTGAAAATATTTGTTTTATGTACTTCGTTAAACTTAATACATACCCAACTATCAAATGGCGTTAAATAAACATAACTTACCGTGCATTTTGTTCCTCTTCTAAAGCAAGAAATAGAAGTGCCTCCTCTTCTTCTGAAGACGAGCGCATTGCAAAAGGCAAAAATAAAATGTACGCAACCTGTCGAAACCTTCACGTTCGCGGAGCGAATAAGACGCTTTGGTATGAATAAACAGGCGAAACAGATTGCGAATTTCGCTCTGAATTTCGTTGCGAATACTTCGCCGCGATTATTTCGCGCCGGTTTGTGGGATGCTTAAATCCGCGAAACTGCACTCATGCGCAGATAGCGCGCTAGCTCTATCTCTCTTACTCCTCTACAGAGGATCTACAAAAGAGCTTATCAATCCTGGCGGCCATAATAAGGATAATGAAAAACTGTTATCAAATTATTGCATTGTTCATATTAATCAAACTTCTGGAAATTGGTGAAAATTATGCTCAAAGATTCATGCACACATGCATACAAGCTTATAAAAGCGTGTTAAAAATGAAGATAGCTGGAAGCTTGTTTGAAAAACGTACAACGTGTGTAATGTTACACGATCGTAAATTGTAGTTGCCGAACCCGGGATTGTTCCCTGGATCTTGGACTATAAAAATTTTGCTGTGCAAACAGTTATTATGTTCTCTCGACTGCGTGCTCTGGAAACTCTCACATTTTTATAAGTAGCTTGAGAGTTGGAAGTTGATGTGCCACCCTCATCTGTTTCCATTATTCATGGAGTACCCGATAATGATAATAATATATCGTTAGTGTTGTGCGGTCTCTTGGAATATTCAGAAGTCTGATGGTATTGTATCATCTGAAGGAAGGTAATTGATTACAAAAATAATTAGCTGTTACTTAATTGCGAAGAAATTGCGTCAAATAGATTGACTCGCCGTGTATTATGCATAAATGATAGACATAGACATAGAAGTACCATGCATTTGTAGACATGATTTCATCTATGCCGAAGTGATTCGTTTTTTCGTTAACGGGTATTAACGTTTTCTTTTTAAACACATTTTTTCAGATATTTGTGGGACCGATATTATCTTAATGAAATTTGGAACACACGTCCTGTTGTTTGACTTTTACAAATAAACCGAAAGGGATCGAGAAGGGTGACAACTACACCCACCCCTACATAAATTGTTGCAGAATTTCCAACGACTCTGAATTTGGTTCCACTGACAACTCGATATCTTCATTAAAGTACTATACTAAGTGACATATAAATCCGAACACCCAGTTTAAATGGTTTTATTTTAATAAAATTTTGTATAAGTACTTAATGAAGCATAATAAGTAAATGATAAAAATTTCAAAATGATTGCACTGCTTTAAATCCCTATGACCTTTAATAATGTGTGGATGCACCCTGCTACACATTCTCCAACGCGCCTAGGCATGCTTCTGATCAGATGGTCAACGTCCTCCTGTGGTATCTCATTCCAGGCAACCACCAACTCCTCTCGAAGTGCTTCTAGAGTCTGAGGAGGACGTTGCAAATTGAGCAATCTCCTACCCATCATTTCCCACACGAGCTCAATTGGGGATAAGTCGGGAGATCTTGGTGGCCATGGTAACAATGTCACATCATTATGTTGAAAGAAGTCTATTGTGACTCTTGCAACATGTGGTCGGGCATTATCTTGTTGGAAAGTTGGATCTGCCAGGGTGTCAAGATAGGGTAAAAGATGAGGTTATAGAACTTCGTGGATATAACGCTGCGCGTTCATGTTACCTCTGATGAAGATTAAAGGTGACCTGGAACCATAAGCTATAGCACCCCAACAGTGTGATGAACATGTCTTTCAACAAAAAACTGTGGCTTCCTCCTTTCACCACGTCGCCTTCTAACCCTGGCACGACCATCGTGCATGCCTAAACAAAATCGAGACTCGTCACTAAAGACAATACTGTTCCATTCCTGATCCCAGAGTGACCGTTGTCTGCACCACTCAAGGCGATTACGTCGGTGTTCTTGAGTTAAAGGGAGGACCCAGTGTGGCCGGTATGAAAACAAGCCAAAACTTCTCATTCGTCGGTAAACACTTCGCATGCCAATAGGTCTTCCGTGTTCTGCAAACCATTCATTTGCAATGGACCTGGTAGTGGAGAAACGGTCCCTTAAGGCCAATAATCTTAGGCGGCGATCTTCACGGTCTGTTGTTCTACGGCGGCGTCCAGTACCCCTTGCTCTTTGCGTACGGCCTTCTCGAAGCCATGCCTGACAACACCTAACCACAGTGTCTACACTTATTTGCACTCTAACTGCAATTGCCCGAAAAGAAAGTCCAGCTTCCTGAAGTCCCACTATACGGCCCCTATCAACGAAATCGTACAGGTCTCCGTACTCTAGGCATCAAGTCAAGTCAGTCAAGTCATCGTTGGTTGTCAGAGCGGTCCGTGGGACCTTAGCTCTTGAGTCACAGTGTCAGTTTGTAAGTCTGTCAGGTCTGGTAACCCAGAAACCAGACGATTTTAAGGAAAAAAGGGGAAGGAAAGGAGAGAAGGAAGAACGAGAGCAAAGGGGAAGAAGAGCATCTTTTAGGATATGCAGCGTTTAGGCATTGTTAAAATCGCTTCACAGATTTTGATATGGTCTAAAAATATTTGATTTTTTCTAAAGATTGTGTAAAAATGCTCCAATTTTGGTTGTTCTAAGTTCACGAGTTAATTTTGATTACAGTGCGAGCCGCGGCCTTTTGTGCTTGCGAACTTGCTCGACTGTGTAGTCCACACTCTAGGCATCGTAACCGATCGTAAAGGATGTCAAGAACCAAAATCCGCCAACGTTGATTCTTTATTGCGGCTGAAATATGTATTAATTTTTAGAGCGTTAGTGAATTGGAAAAAAGCAGTATAAAAACCGAAATGTCCAACTGATAAGGCTGAAAATTTTTTCACTTGTTATTTACAGTAAGATAAATACATTCACCAACTTTTATTAAAATAAAACCATTTAAACTGGGTGTTCGGATTTATATGTCACTTAGTATATTTACATAATACAATGTCTTCGAAACTTTTCGCTATATAGGATCTGCAGGGGTACCGCAGGGATCGAATTTGGGACCATTGCTTTTTTTGCTCTTTGTTAACGATATTGTGAAACATTAATATTTGCCGATGACTCGCTGGTGAGTAGTTACAGTGTCAAACATCTAAGTTGGAAGATTGATGTCGATTGAATAAATTGCATACAAATACCGCTAAATGCAAATGCAAAGTGGTTACATACTTTCGAAAATAACAAGTTTTAATTTACCGGAGGAAGTCGACTCGACTACTTCTCCAAAAATATCTCAAAAAATATGTTTTTCAAAAACACTATACGTACTATCGCCTCTTGTATAAATTGGGTGCATAGATTACGAATTTCGTGTCAGTTTTGTACTGAGTTCGACACATGAAACCCCAAAAGGACTTTACATTTTACATGCTGCTGAGGTATTTTCGACTGCGGCATTTTCAAGCTCTCCGACTGTATGTTTCAGCTTTATAAAATTTGCAAAAAGACCGGTCTGGTTGGTAATGGCTTTCAGATCTCAGGACATGATCGTGTGACATTTTTCAACTCTTCGAAGAAGGTGACTGGCCTGCACGGTTCAAGTTCAAGTTCAACGCCTTTCCGACTTTATAAATAAACACTATAGACCAGGATATCTAGAATTTCAGAAAACATATATTGACAAATTTTACTTTAAAGCAAATAAAAGGGCACTTCATCTAGAGACACAAAAATATTTTGGAATTGGAAAAATCATGTTTTGACTTATATTCAAAAAACTATGAAGTACTGGTAAAAGGCGCCCACAGAAGATTTGTAGGGAATTAAAAATAAAAGCATACTTTTTTTAAAACGCGCTTTTATTTAGCTGTTCATAAAATAAACTAAAAAATAAATTAATAATATAATAAAAGCGTGTTACATGCTTTTTGTATCCATGCTTTTATTTGAAAACTTATGATGAAGGAGATTCAGTGTTCAAATATTTCCAATCCAAAAAAGCATTTTTAAATTTTTCTGGCATTTAGCAATAGCTAAACAACGCTTTTTTTAATAACGTATTTCTTCATTTATTTATTTTTCACCTTTTAGTATTTATAATGTCAAATAACTAGTTTGGTAATTCCTATATAATTTTCATATATTTATTAATAAGACCCCATAAACCTTCTTACTTTATTTGTATCACAAAAATCATATATATAAAATCATAGTCAAAAGCTAACGCCTTTTTACTTTGTACATTAGATAAATGATTGAAAATACATCCACAGTTTCTGCTCATTTCTAATTGCTGCTATTTTCTACAATAAACTTAACTTATTTTCCAAAAGTATTTTCATTCACAAAACTCATTTGCGAACGACTTATATCAACACGTTACAGATTTTTTTATATACGTGAAAAGAAAAACGATTTTTCCAACTTTTATGTTTGGAAAAATTTTTTTTGTGTCAACGGGGGACTTTTTCATTCACCGTCGACAATCCATTTAGTTGTAAAATCAGTAATTTTTTGGCTAGTCAGCCTGATCTATAATCGATTCAAATATATGGAGCCAGTTTGAAAGAAAAGAAAAGAACCCAGTCACCAACAAAGGCGTACATAATCTATATGTTAATGTGCGACTACTTGCAAGATTCAAATTGTTTATGCAGATTGATATAATTTGATCTGGTTCAATGATCTGGCTTTGGAAAATATGCCTATATCTATGTAATCCTATAAGCAATTCCAGTTATTCTTACTTTAGCTTGACGAGAAAGTAGCGTAATATCAAGATATTGCGTTTTTACTTCCAATGCCAAAACTAATGTTTTGATGTGTGTGTGTATATATTATAGGGAGGTGCTGAGTCCATCTACTTGATCCAGTTTTTTAGTATTTTGTAACGCTGTCATAGATATGGTAAAACACATTATACATAATCTGATATATGTATTTTCTGTTGAATCATAATGTAAACATAAGGTAGATGCAGCGCTGGTTATCAGCCATAGATAACCAATCGGAGAGTTGACATGTGTTTACACAAACTTACATATTTTTATTTAGCTTATTTCTGACACGTAATGTTAGTTTCGTTTGATCGATCATGTAGTGTACAGAAAACTATAGGAGCATTGGGTACGTAGGATTCACTATATTTCTTCACTCACAAATTGTTTGTATTTCTTTGAACATTTTGCTACTGAAACTACTAAATTTTAAGCAAAATACGTTTTACCAGAAACGCTGCCTCAGCTTTAATGATTTTGGTTACAAATGGCACAGTTATTAGTAAGATAGTAATTTATTACTCCATTCGGCACTATAAACTGTGTATTGCAATCCCCAAAAAAAAATTAAAATGATGATTTTTGGATTCCAGAGGTGTTACTCCAACACTCCGGAAAAGATTAATAGAAATCTATAACTTATATTAGAAAAAAGCACACCAGAAAAACTATTTAACGATGAAGAAATATACAGGGTATTCCGTTTGAAATTTTTGAGAAAAGGTACATTTCGCGTTTTGAGATACCCTGTATAAACAGAAAGAAATGATAATAAAATTTTGGAACTAAGACTCACCTAAATGTCTTCAAAATGGTGGAGCTGCTAGCCGAAATAATATGCCATATAATATCAAACTGTTTTTAGAAGCTCTATTTAAATATGCAATAAAATATAAGGTATTCTCTTTGAAAAAAATACATGTTTGCAATGGCACGAAGTTTTCAAATTTGCATAAAAGCAGATGTTTGATGTCTTTTCCAGTTTGCGTATACATTGCATACGCATTGTCTACATCCACATTGCGTGGAAAGTGTGGAGTTTACCTTTTTCATGTTCTACTAAAACTTTTTCGAACTAGATTGTGAGGTGGTGCTATGTCTTGGGCACCCCATCTGACTGCTCTGTTCACTTGGATCCACGTAGCAGGTACCTTGGCGACAGTACCACTGTTGATTGAAAAAATCGAACCAAATAGTACCAAGGCGAGGGTGTATACTCTTAATGCAACTCACCATGTCGCACTTTTGTTCAGGAACATACCAAATCTGAAGGTAATTTGTTCTTAGGAATTTTCTTTCTATACAGGATGTTACAGACTGCTGACAGGAAAATATAAGGGCAGATTGAGCACGTGTAAATATGAAAAAAGATTATGTACACATGGGGTCGGAAATTTCTTGTTTTTTTTCCATGTTTGAACACGTCTTTGAAAAAAGTGCAGCACCGGCTTCTGCAAACTTAAGTGTCGTTTTGTCAAAGCCATATGATTCTGCCTAGATGATGCAGTTTTTCGTTTTGTTTTTTAAATAAGGTGCCAACGCGATTACTAATTTTTAAGTATGATATATTGAGGTAGGTACTCGTTAATAAATTAAATGTTCAAGTATTAATCTGGTGGTTTTAGGATACTGATAAACCGAATTTCTAAAGAATAAAGGAAAAGAAAATTTCAAGTTGGTCATATATATGAGATTTTTGTATTTAAATGTTTTAGAACTTGTAGATTTTAAGTCTTCATCCAGATTTTTCTTTGCATCCTAGCACTTGATTTTTCTTAAAAAGCCGAAATTCTACAATTTCCCATTTAAAGCAATAATCTCGATCTTGATTTGACACCAATGTCCACTTCTTTTCGTTACATTGTGTCCTACCACTTTTCGTTAAGTTGTGTCTCAATTCTTTTCGGTAGGTTTGTCCCACATCATTTCGACAACGTTTATGTAGTACTATATCCATAAGGCGTTGCTCAATGCGTATGTAGAAACAAATAAAGAGAAAAGAAGCTTCGTTAGCGGGTAAAGTTAGGAATAGGCATCCACGGTTTACATTTTGGTAAATCAGATCTACAGTAGCGTGATCTATAGTCGAAGAGACTTGTTGTTGGCGACCTCTTGTGGCGTAGTCTGTATTTAAGTGACGAGAATGTCCCACTTCTTTTCGTTACGTTTGTCTTACTTCTTTTGGTTATGTTGTGTCCCACTGCTGTTCGTTAGGCTATGTCCCACTTCTTTTCGTCAGGTTGTGTCCCACTTGTTTTTGTTAAGTTGTCCCACTTCTTTACGTTAGGTTGTGTCCCACTTCTATTCGTTCGATTTGTCCCACTGCTTTTTGTTAGGTTTGTCCCACTTCTTTCCGTTCGGTTTGTCCCACTGCTTTTCGTTAGGTTTGTCCCACTTCTGTTCGATAGGTTGTGTCCCACTTCTTTTCATTCGGTTTGTCCACTGCTTTTCGTTAGGTTTGTCCCACTTCTTTTTGTTAGGTTTGTCCCAATTCTTTTCGAAGGCTTGTTCCAGTTCATTTCGACAACGTTTATGTAGTAAAATCTCTAAAGCGTCGCTCAAAGCGTATGTACAGACACATAAAGAGAAATGTTTCACATTTTGGTGAAATAGATCTATATGTACAGTAGCTTCATCTATAGTCGAAGCGTTTTGTTGTTGGCGACCTCTTGTCGCGTAGTCTGTATGTAAGTGATGAAAATGTCCCACTTCTTTTCGTTAGGGTTGTCTCACTTCTTTTCGTTCGGTTTGTCCCACTTCTTTTTGTTAGGCTGTGTCCCACTTCTTTTCGTTAGGTTTGTCCCACTTCTTTTCGTTCGCTTTGTCCCACTGCTTTTCGTTAGGTTGTATCCCACTTCTTTTTCTTAGGCTGTGTCCCACTTCTTTTTGTTAGGTTGTGTCCCACTTCTTTTCGTTCACTTTATCCCACTGATTTTCGTTAGGCCGTGTCCCACTTCTTTTCGTTCGCTTTGTCCCACTGCTTTTCATTAGGTTGTGTCCCACTTATTTTCATTCGCTTTGTCCCACTTCTTTCCATTAGGTTGTGTCCCACTGCTTTTCGTACGGTTTGTCTCAATGCTTTTCGTTAGGTTTGTACAACTTCTTTTCATTAGGTTCGTCCCACTGCTTTTCGTTAGGTCTTATTCCACTCCTTTTTGTTAGGTTGTGTCCCACTTCTTTTCGTTCGCTTTGTCCTACTGATTTTCATTAGGCTGTGTCCCACTTCTTTTCGTTTGCTTTGTCCCACTGCTTTTCGTTAGGTTGTATCCCACTTATTTTCGTTAGGTTTGTCCCACTTCTTTTCGATCGCTTTGACTCACTGCTTTTCATTAGGTTGTATCCCACTTCTTTTCGTTAGGTTTGTCCCACTTCTTTTCGTTCGCTTTGTCCCACTGCTTTTCGTTAGGTTGTATCCCACTTCTTTTGGTTAGGCTGTGTCCCACTTCTTTTCGTTAGGTTGTGTCCCACTTCTTTTCGTTCGCTTTGTCCCACTGATTTTCGCTAGGCTGTGTCCCACTTCTTTTCGTTCGCTTTGCCCCACTGCTTTTCGTTAGGTTGTGTCCCACTTCTTATCATTCGCTTTGTCCCACTTCTTTCCGTTAGGTTGTGTCCCACTTCTTTTCGTACGGTTTGTCCCAATGTTTTTCGTTAGGTTTGTCCCACTGCTTTTCGTTAGGTCTTATCTCACTTCTTTTTGTTAGGCTGTGTCCCACTTGTTTTCGTTCGCTTTGTCCCACTGCTTTTCATTAGGTCTTATCTCACTTCTTTTTGTTAGGCTGTGTCCCACTTCTTTTCGTTCACCAAGGTCACCAATAAATAGCCAGTCAAAATTCTGAACTTTTACGAGACTCTTTGAATATTCCCAAATATTGCTCTACATTTACCTTTATTAATTTTTTCATATTTCAGTGTGCTCTGAATCTGCTCATCAATTTTACCTGCAACATCCTCTTACATTATGTATATTTTCAGACGCCTAATCCGTTTTTGATCAAAACGTGGTCGTCAGGTTCTGTAAGCGAACGCTTACCGATCCTTGTGGTCGCTCAACAGAAAAGGCAAGTTTCAGCGTGGACTGTGCCTCTGACAGTCGAACCTCAAAGAACTCGAGAAGATTATTCGGAGGAAGAAAATAATGTTGGAAAGACTCTTTTTCATAACGTTTCCAGGATCATGTGCCATGATTTCATGCGCGAAATTATCAATGGAGGTGAGTCACGTATACAGGATGATGCAAAAGAACAGTAACAATATTACAAACATCCTATGCAGTGCTGTCAATGTTCAAGTTAGGTATGTTATCAGGTAGTTGTCAGATGTCAGTTTTGTTTATTTCTTGTTCGGTATGTTTCGCGAAGTTTGTAGAGCTTTTGATTTTTCTAGAAATTGATATTTACAAGTTACTACGGTATACTGAAAAGTTCCGGAACCTCACGATAATTTGTAGGAAAAAAGGTGGCCTCGCAATTGATAGGAGTTTTCCCCATCTGATTTGACTATTACCATGACCTTTAAATTTTTTTAAAATGGAACCTCCCATTTTTTACCCATATTATTCACTTTGGTACCCGCCGCAATAGGAGTGACTGATACAGTAACAAGTAACCCAACACAATAAGAACGATGAAGACAATTAGTATAGATCTTTTATGTTAATGGCTGCATATGGAGTTTTTGTCCACAAAGAGGTTATACAGGGTGTAAGGTTAGTAGTGAATCAAAGGAGATGATAGAGGGTCCCAAAACCTATCGAATGAACCCCTATATGTGTGTTCCGAAATTTGATAGTCCAGGAGATATTTGCAATGAACTTTCAATCGCAGTTACAACTGAACCATTAGGTTCAGGGCTGTGATTTTTTTTTAGACGTAGCAATTGGAGGTGGGTACCAGTTTCCATACAATCTCTGGCCCCTGGCATCTTTCTTTAGTAATTTTTAGCCCACTTTTGCATGCAAATATTCCTTCAGGGATATAACCAGTTTTGACATATCTTATAGCACGTAAGTGATCCTTAAGACAATAAAGTGTACGATACCTTGGGGTCCCATGCTATTTGAAAAATCCTTGCAGAGTTCTCAACGTTGCCGCTGACGATCGCCCAGAGTTTCGTGGTGGGTCTGTCGACGTCTTCTCCAACGAATGTCTCGGTACACGTAGAGCTGGAGGAACAGACGAAGTTCTTCTTGAAAGCCGGCAAGTCGTACACGCTCAGCGTATCGCCGAGTCAACCGAAGTACGCTTTTTATAAGTTTACCGACAAAACTTCCGATACTGTGGTGGTGGAGGTGGGATCGGGAGATGACATATGCTTGACCATGTCCATTCAAGACGCCAAGGTAGGAGTCAGGGCTAGATGCGAAGGGTGATTCGGTTAGGGGTACTTTTGCAAAAGCATCAAGGAATGAAATAATCAACTCATCTAGCTTTCTTCTACCGCTATGTGTACAGGTTTTGCTCTTTAAAGTTCTCTCTGTGATGTGCCTGTCAAACAGATCCGTCTGACTTCAGCCTTCCATCCTAACCGTATTGAATTTCGTACATACTGCGAATTTATGGTTTCAGGGGCTTGTACTGGGTATTTCGGAATATATGGCCACTTTTTCGTTAATTGAGATAGCCAGATAAGACTGATTATTTTCATTTTTTGTTATTTTGTTAATATTGTTTATAAATGAATCACCCCTAACATGTGTCTCAGTACTATTTTTTTAGCAATCTATTTCAACGTGAATTATAATATAAATGTTTTTTAGTGTCCAGTTTTTGACATGTACAAAGATATAAAATATGAAGGTATTCACCAAACGATGAATATAAAAGGAGCAGTTACAATAAGGGTAAGTGCATGATCACCAGACAAGATCACTAAATAACGTTTATCAAATTTCCACAAGAACTAACATAGGTTTAAAAAATCCAATCACAGACGCAATTAAAAAATTTAATAATTTACCTCATTGTATAAAAGATTCAAATATACTAAGTGACATATAAATCCGAACACTCAGTTTAAATGGTTTTATTTTAATAAAAGTTGGTGAATGTATTTATCTTACTGTAAATAACAAGTGAAAAAATTTTCAGCCGTATCAGTTGGACATTCCGGTTTTTATACTACTTTTTTTTAATTCACTAACGCTCTAAAAATGAATATTTCAGCCGCAGTAAAGAATCAACGTTGGCGGATTTTGGTTCTTGACATCCTTTACGATCGGTTACGATGCCTAGAGTACGAAGACCTGTACGATTTCGTCAACTTAGTGAGTTTGATAGGGGCCGTATAGTGGGACTTCGGGAAGCTGGACTTTCTTTTCGGGCAATTGCAGTTAGAGTGCAAAGAAGTGTAGATACTGTGGTTAGGTGTTGTCAGGCATGGCTTCGAGAAGGCCGTACGCAAAGAGCAAGGAGCACTGAACGCCGCCGTAGAACAACAGACCGTGAAGATCGCCGCCTAAGATTATTGGCCTTAAGGGACCGTTTCTCCACTACCAGGTCCATTGCAAATGAATGGTTTGCAGAACACGGAAGACCTATTGGCATGCGAAGTGTTTACCGACGAATGAGAAGTTTTGGCTTGTTCTCATACCGGCCACACTGGGTCCTCCCTTTAACTCGAGTACACCGACGTAATCGCCTTGAGTGGTGCAGACAACGGTCACTCTGGGATCAGGAATGGAACAGTATTGTCTTTAGTGACGAGTCTCGATTTTGTTTAGGCATGCACGATGGTCGTGCCAGGGTTAGAAGGCGACGTGGTGAAAGGAGGAATCCACAGTTTTTTGTTGAAAGACATGTTCATCACACTGTTGGAGTTATGGTTTGGGGTGCTATAGCTTATGGTTCCAGGTCACCTTTAGTCTTCATCAGAGGTAACATGAACTCGCAGCGTTATATCCACGATGTTCTAGAACCCCATCTTTTACCCTATCTTGACACCCTGGCAGATCCAACTTTCCAACAAGATAATGCCTGACCACATGTTGCAAGAGTCACAATAGACTTCTTTCAACATAATGATGTCACATTGTTACCATGGCCACCAAGATCTCCCGACTTATCCCCAATTGAGCACGTGTGGGATATGATGGGTAGGAGATTGCTCAATTTGCAACGTCCTCCTCAGAGTCTAGAAGCACTTCGAGAGGAGTTGGTGGTTGCCTGGAATGAGATACTACAGGAGGACATTGACCACCTGATCAGAAGCATGCCTAGGCGCGTTGGAGAATGCGTAGCACATCAGGGTGCATCCACACATTATTAAAGGTCAAAGGGCTTTAAAGCAGTGCAATCATTTTGAAATTTTTACCATTTACTTATTATGCTTCATTAAGTACTTATACAAAATTTTATTAAAATAAAACCATTTAAACTGGGTGTTCGGATTTATATGTCACTTAGTATAACTATAGAAGTTTTGTTAGAGAATACAAAGATTTTAAAAATGTTAATGAATTTATTTGTTGAAATTATGAGCAACATTGCAGTGTCCCAGAGTTCATACATATTGATTATTGTTTTGTTATTCTCGGGGCCAGTGTTTGCAAGCACTGATTGGGGAATTATTGTTAAAACTGGTTATATATTTTGTATTATTGTGTTTAAAAAAATTATTTCAAAAAAAGTAGCATTTTTATAAGGCTGAATTTATCATTGAAAGCACAAAAAATCTACCTAAAAGTTTTAAAATAAATGTTTACTGGCATGAGAAACATTTTCGAAATTTTTTTGAATTCCTTAGCATAGGCAACCGATTTTCAGTTGTAAGGAATAATGAACAGAATTCCAAGATGCTAAAAAGCAAATCTAATTTTCATATTGCAGGTACCATTGATGACATGTAGTTTTTTGTGTAGCTGTTTACAAAGGAAACGCGATTTTTTACAGACCGCATAAATTCATTCTTTCTATAGAAAGTATTCTAGAACTCTGTGTAGAAAATGTTCTATTTCCTCCATCCATTGCAACTTGGTTGTTTTCCCTCCCCCCCCCACCCCTTTCTTTCCTCCTATTGTCTCCCCTTTTCGTTTTCTCTTCCTCTTCTTCGCTCCCTTTCCTCAATTTTTCCTGCAGGACTGACTGCCTATCAATAGCACCGTTGCCCTCCCCCTGGATCCGCGCCTGAATAATTGACTTGTTTTTCTGTTCTCAAACGTTCTTTTTCAGCGTAAGGACTTCCAAGGCTCGCAAGGCTTCTTCGTGGTCCTCGTAGCGCATCCCGACGATACCGAATGCGGCCAATCGCATTCAGCCTTGCCCTCCCCTTTAACAGCTAGAGAAAAGCCAAACGCGGACGCGAACATCGAGACTAAAGTGACCGTACTAGTTCGCGATGGCTTGGGCTGGAAAGGATACACGAAGGCGGCCTGGGGAGCCATAGGCGTACTACTGTTGCTTGCCGTCATACTCCTTGCAATGCAAATGGCGCTGAACAGATACGGCACCATCGCAAAGTATTGCTTCGATGGTAAGAACAAATTGACGTTACTACAGTATATTCAGATAAGAGATAGACCGGACATAAACAAGACCACGTGATCATCGAACGCTGTAACATTCGACAGGGACGTATTAAGAGTCACGCAGTGCATATTTTAGATAGTAGATGCTGCTTTGCGTAACTTTGTAGTAAATTAGCACAATTCGATGTGTATACGATTATGTGGGGGGTAAGAAATATATAAATAAGGGTTTCAAAATTTTCGCTTCGATTTCCAGCTTCGGATGCCGCCTGATGTTTGGTGAAATACAGTCGAATATAATCTCAAAATGGCGTTTAAATTAGCCTAAATTAAAAATAATCGTATATCTCTTAAAATTGCTTTTAGAATATTGATTAGTATATTTTTTGATTTCTAGGTAAATATGTAACCAAATTAAAACGTTCAAAACGTAAAAAAATGTGCATGGTTGAACATTGTCAGAAAGTAGATTCTTGAATAGGTTTTGCCAAAATGGGTTCAAAAATGTCAATAATTAATTAAAAAATACAGTAGCTTTATAATTACTTATAACTTACCGAATTTGATGAACGACATCTTTTATTGGAAAGATGAGCTTGATGAGCTTTCATCATCGCTACTGCCTGAAGCACCAACGTCAATAATGAATGGCTCGACTTGTTCCTCTAAAATATTGTCCAGTTCCCACATTCTCTTTTCAACTTTGTCTTTCACGTGCTTAATACAGTTTTCCTATTTTTGCGCTGTTATTAATTCTAGTGCTTCTTTGAAAAGTCCTTTGAGGTCACAAAATTTAAAAATTGTATTGTGCTTAGCTATATAATTTTTAGCCTCTGCCCATATGAGCTCAATGGGATTGAGCTCGCAATGGTATGGAGGTAAACGGAGCACAGTTTTATTTTGACTTGCTGCCATTTCGTCAATGGCGTATTTTTGATATTCCGCCTTGTGATCCTTGACAATTCTTAATAATTGTACTTTCAGCATTGCTTCTTCAAAGTTGATATTTTTCGAGCTGAGCCAATTTTGAACATCAACTTTCCTTGAAGCCGTTGTTGGGACCTTCTCCATTCTTCGAGAATGATAAGGCGCATTATCCAACACAATTACTGCGTTTTCCTCTAAGTTCGGTAAAATTTTTGAAAACCACTGTTCAAACGATTCGCCATTCATTTCCTCGTGGTAATCTCCAGTTTTCTTAGACTCAAAGCACCACAGACCGTCAACAACAAATCCATCCTCACTGCCAATATGGCAGATAATGAGCCTTTTCCTTTTACCTGGAAATCGAAGTACTAACTGGTGTAGATTTATTTCAATAAGCGAACCTTTTTCAAATGTTTTAATCACATTCAGCGAAAAAACATTGAGACATGAGTATCAGATTGCTATAATTGGGATTATTTAGTCATATTGAAAGAAAGAATATTGAACGTCGTATGATTACTCAGCGCTTCACAATTTAATTTAAAGTTATAAACCTTTAAAAAATGAATGATCAGGAACCTGAAATACGCGCAAATATTAATATTAACAAATTATAACTTTATAAAGCTTAAAGTATGAATTAAAATGATTAGAAATATTAGGAACGGTACACAATATAAAACTTAGTAACTTTTTTTAAGTTTATAATATTCGACATATTTTAAGATTATATTAAAAAATTATTGAAATATCGAAAACACATAAAAACATGGCTTAAAAAAGTTCTAACAAATGAAAATGACAATAAAACATCCACGCATTTTATCGAAAGTTATAAAAGTTTTGTTACTTGTAATATGTTTTATCTGCCCCCTGGAATTAATGTTTAGAACCTTGTTCCCAAGGTTTGAAAAACATCCGATTGTTGTCTATTACTCGTATTTACCTGCTGGATTTTTTAATCCGGTGGACAGTCCATCTAGAAAGGCCCTCCTGGATGAAGTTACAGAATTATCAACCCATACTTTACTTGTAGTGTGTCCTGCGTTTACCCACGTTTCATCAAGGTAATAAATCTTCCTGTTTTGATTTCTATATTTCCCAATTTTTGTTAAATAATCCCTCCTCCATAGCACAATTTCTTCTCTATCCAGTAGTAAACTATTACGACCCCGTTTTTTCCATTTGAAATTTAAATGTGGCATGGAAATTTGATCGTTTGAAATTTGGCAACGTTGTATCTCCATTTACCTCCTGCAGTACTTTATCTATAATGCGTGTGGTTATAGTCCGGGGAGTTTCTTCACGTCCGCTCGGAAAAACATTCGGACTCTGTTTTTTTTGCATAGTCTTATTCAAAAAGTATCCCTTTAAGCGAATCATGCTTACACAATCTTGTAAACAAATTCCAAAAATTGGTTTATGTCTGTACGAACTAGTACAGCATTCTTTTGTGTGTTCTATTTATTTTTTGCATGATGAAAATTTTAAAATGTCATATATCAGCTAAAGAAAAAGATATTTAAGCAAACTCACCAGCATGTGAAGGGCAAGGCTTGTACTTTCAGATAATGTTTCTATTTTTTAAATAATTCACATACATAACCTGAAATATAGGCAGACATCGCTGTTTCTGCACCTTTGGGTTAGAATATCTCCGAAACTAGAGCCATTGTGGAGATTTAGAGCCGATCGTCAGTCGTTCTTACAATTGTAGAACACCTTTATGGCCTCCTTGATTTCCATAGTATATTCTACCCTTTAGAAAGGCTGCAGTATTTCTAGATTTCTATTGCTCCGTGTCAGCGTCAGCCCTCTCCTAATTATATTTTCTTTTTATATTGTAGGAAATTTCAGGGTGATGAAACAGATGATAAAAATCAAAAGCATGTACAATTTGATGCAAATAGATATGTATCACATAACCTCAAAACAGAGCGCCTTTCTAGAGGACAGGAAAAACTATGAAAATCAAGGAGGCCATAAAGGCGTCCTACAATAAATTGAAAGAACGACTGACGATACGGCACTTAGACTATTCTTGTTTCTGGATAATAGTGAATGCTTAGGTTTTTCTTGGACTATATGAATCTGTTTTGATTGTAGATGTGATCGTGACAGACCATTATCATCACATGGACGGAGAACAAGTATGTAAATTGTTGCAAGAGAATAGGTTGACTTTGTCTTTGTTAGCCAGACAACCTCGAAAAATCAAGAAGCGCTCTTATAACTATCTCTCACACACGCTCAGCATTGCACTTTTCTACAGTATTCCTGTGGTCCAGTTGGTTGTCACCTATCAAAGGGTAATTCAACATTCTTTTTATGATGTCATTTGAAAAAAAAACAATATTAAATATAACTTAAATCATTTTACCTACGATCGGGCGAAAAATAGTGCTTTATGAATAGGTTTTCTGGACTTTTTTATACGCTAACTCACTTAAAACAAATTTATTACTATATCGACTGGACTATCGCGTTGACTCAGTCATCGTTGTCCTTAGACTCGACTGTACTCCTACCACGATCGTCTCATCTATATATTTGAAATTGATTAGTCCAGAAGCTCTCTAGGACATTCGTAAGATACTTCTCGAACGCTCTCGATGGCAACCGAACCTTCACGATCGCTCACTCACGTGAACGCGATCACTATTGAAGCTTCTTCAGCACGCAGCAAGCTGCGATACATGATGATGTAACTCTGGTTGCCTAATTTTGTGAAAGTATCTCTTCGCTATTCAAAATCCCAGTCACGAAGGCGTTACAGTATGGTCATTAATTTCTACTAAAAGCTACTCCAATTTTTTATTTAAGCCAACAGGCAAACATAGTCGCAACGACACAATAGCTGTAATGAACACACCGGTTTTACTGTCCAAAGTCTAATTTATCACTTTAACACTGATTTATAACACTCGTAACTAATTTATGACAAATTTATTACTATGAACTATGGGGTTGACTCATCGATCATTGTCTGTGATCTCGTCTGTACCCCTTACACTGACGTCGCGTCATATGTTTTGAAATCGACCAATCCAGAAGCCCTCCAGAACGTTCGCGCGATATTTCTCGAACGCTCTCGATGGCAACCGAACCTTCACGATCGCTCACGCACGTGAACATGATGATGTAGCTCTGGTTGCCTAATCTTGCGATGGTATCTTCTCGCTATTCGAAGAACCAGTTACGAGGGCGTTTATTTTCAATTTTATCAAACGATTCGTCAAATTTTAGCCAGTCGTGGATAAACATCGTTACAAAGATAACTAGTTTTATAAGGAATAATTGAATTTTCTTTCAGATAGTAAACATAACCGGTAACGAAGATATGTGCTACTACAATTTTCTTTGTGCCCATCCTGCATTTGGATTCAGCGATTTTAATCATATTTTTTCGAATATCGGATACGTCGTGTTCGGCATTGTGTTCATTTTAGTCGTTATGGATAGACACAGGATTATCCAGTTCAGAAAGGTGAATAAATGACAAATTACGGAGGAAATTGTATAAAAACTGATTAAGCATATGATAGTGTTTTGAACATAAGTAAGCAATATGACTTGATTAATAAAAAAAGTTGACTGTTTCTATTTCTTTTTTTATTCTGACATCTATTTCAGGAAAAAGGAATTCCTGTGCATTACGGTTTATTTCATGCAATGGGAGTTGCTCTTATCATAGAGGGTTTGCTTTCTGCCTGCTATCACATATGCCCCAGTCAGTCGAACTACCAGTTTGGTACGTAAAATCCTACCGACCTTACCCGTGTTCTGCAATTTTTTTCTGATATTCTAGATACTAGTTTTATGTACGTAATGACGGTACTGATAATGGTTAAACTGTATCAAAATCGTCATCCTGATATCAATGCAACAGCCTATACTACCTTTACAGTCCTCGGAGCCGTCATATTTATGGGTAAGAGAAAATTCTATCAGAAATAAAAAAACCTTTAGGGCAACCTAAACAAACAAAAAGTTCTATTATTTTAATGTTCCAAACGAAGTTTTATTCCATTTGATGTTTCAGCCACAGTTGGTATCTTGAATGGGAGCCTTTCAGTATGGGTTCTATTTGTGGTGTCTTACAGCGCCCTCTGTGTAGCAGTGTCCCTAAAAATTTATTTCCTAAATCACGTATTAGATGGGTTGAAGCAATGCAAAGGGATGATACAAAAAGATGGATTTTCTTCAGATGCCTTTAAGCCGGTCCGAAAAGGTAAACAGCAGAAATAGTTTTTTTTAAGAATTTAGAGAATTTATAGAATTTATAGAATTTATAGAATTTATAGAATTTAGAGAATTTAGAGAATTTAGAGAATTTAGAGAATTTAGAGAATTTAGAATTAGAGAATTTAGAGAATTTAGAGAATTTAGAGAATTTAGAGAATTTAGAGAATTTAGAGAATTTAGAGAAATTTAGAGAATTAGAGAATTTAGAGAATTTAGAGAATTTAAAGAATAGAGAATTTAAAGAATTTAGAGAATTTAGAGAATTTACGACTAGAGATTTAGAGATTAGAGAATTTGGAGAATTTAGAGAATTAGGAATTCGAGCATTTAGAGAATTATAGAATTTTAGGAATTTAGAGAATTTAAGAGAACTTTAGAGAATTAGAGATAGAGAATTTAGAATTTAGAGAATTTAGAGAATTTAGAGAATTTAGAGAATTTGAGACTAGAATTTAGAGAATTTAGAGAATTTAGAGAATTTAGGAATTTAGAGAATTTAGAGAATTTGGAGAATTTAGAGAATTTAGAGAATTTAGAGAATTTAGGAATTTAGAGAATTTAGAGAATTTAGAGAATTTAGAGAATTTAGCGAATTTAGAGAATTTAGAGAATTTAGAATTTAGAGAATTTAGAGAATTAAAGAATTTAGAGAATTTAGAGAATTAGAGAGAATTAGAGAATTTAGAGAATTTAAAAATTTAGAGAATTTAGAGAATTTAGAGAATTCCGAGAATTTAGAGGATTTAGAGAAAAACAAATCAGAGACTATAGAGAATTTACAGAATTTAGAGATTTCGATTAACTAGAAAAATTTTAGAGTATTAGAGATAGTGAAGAAGTTCTAAGTTAGGAGATGTAATGTTTAATTCGATTTTTTTTCAGCTAGATTTTGCCTACTACTAACTTCTAACTTAGCCAACTATGCAATGTTGGTTTCAGGACTGTGTCTTTATTCAAGGAATGTGACTGATTTTGGTACATTTTTGCTTGGCCTACTCATGGCTAACGCTGTTATCCAAACTATTTTTTATACTTCCATGAAGGTATATAGATTTTTATTATATTTGTATAATCTCAAGTCAGACATTTTGATGAACATCAGTTCAGCTTTTTTTACATATTGTCGTAGTTCAAGTTACCTAGGATGAGACATTAAAAACATATATTTTTCCAACTTTCTAGCTATGTGCTGGGGAGAGAGTATGCCCCGAAGCAACGATTTATGGGCTCCTAGGGGCCGCTACCTGGGTCACAGCTGGATTTTTTTTCCTCGATGCAGCCACGTTATGGACTGTAAGTATCATACTCGAAAATAATCTAAAAATACGGATTCACTATTTTTTTAACTATTGAGGATGGCGGGAAAATATCGGAAGTCTCAAGGTATCAACAGCTAGGTTTCAGCTATTATGGTGAAGTGAACCCATTCGCTTTTCCGGCGATTCAAAGTTTCTGGTGTGTAGGTTGTTAACTCAATTTCAGGTAACTCCAGCTGAATCAAGACAGTGGAACCAGCCTTGCGTCCTGCTAGATTTCTACGACAAGCACGACGTGTGGCACTTACTCAGCGCTCCCGCGCTTTATTTCACTTTTATGTTCCTCATGTGCCTCGATGATGACATCATCGATCGTCCGCAGTGCGAAATACCTGTATTTTAGCTATACTTTTTATACTGATTAAATTTTATTGGAAAATCAAAGATGCTTCTTATTTTTGTCCATTTAATAACCCGTAATGATTATTCTAATTGTCTGACAAACATTTGCGGGTTCACAAGAAATTAGCTTTTCTAAATTTCTTCCGATTTTCCTAACTTGTCTACAAAACCTAAGTCCGTCTCTGTTCAAAACATGATAACGACATATCGCCATCTATTGGCGAGGGGTAACCGCTTACGTGGGCGCCACCTTGCAGGAAGCCTGTAACTAGTAGAGGGTAAGTGGATTTAAAAATCTGCTGGCTTCTTCTTCAATAAAATATCAAAAGTTTGAGAAATATTGATGTGCACCGATATGCAAATAAGATCACATAAAGAGAAAACAGACAAGGCGAATAAAATTAGAAAAATATAAAAGATGACTTCAAAAACATGGCGTCCAAAAAACAGCTGATCTCGTCTTTTTGGATGAACTCATTGACCTTCACTTGCATAGTGAACGCGTTTTTTGTTCAAATTCCCTTTTGTTTGGAAATGTTTGTGCGGATACAGCCTAGGTAGAAGTTATTCTCAATACCTGCTGTAAGTTATCACAAAGCGATTTGCCTTTTAGGGCCTTACGCGGTTAGTTAAAAAAAGGAACTTCAGCTTGAAAGTCAAAAGTTTTCTAACCTCAAATTGCTATTTGTGGGACTACTGGACATAATTGGCCCCTTATCTTCATCGATAATAAATAGTATAAATAGTCAAGCTAGAAGAATCTCTCTCACTAATACGAGGTTGTTGCCTCTTGCAACTGCACCGATCTTGAAAACTAAAACAAAAATTTAAGTCCGGTCCTGTCCTAAACTCGATAACAACATGGCGCCATCTACTGGTTTCCATCAGTTATATGCCAATCAGTCATATAGATTTCTAGGTGCTAAATAATGCGAATGAAAAAAATGGCCAGCAGATGACACTTAATAAGATGAGGCGTCTAGCGACATCTATGAACTGCATAGTTTACTTCTGAAGGATGACGTTCTATATTCATTTAACAGGTGGCGCTTGACATTTAGTGTTGCCGATTCTACCGGTTTGTCGGAACTTCTACCGAAATTAGACTTTAGTTACGGTAATGCCAAAAACTTCCGCATGTATGCGTATATTCAGGAAGTCGGGCACACATAGGTCTTAGATCTGAATTGCCTATAATTGTGTATGCACGTCCCTTACTCTTCAGTCCCTGTATTATTTGTAATCCGTAGAAGAAGTCAGTGTGTCCTGGTAATCTTGCGACGGCAATAATTTTTTCGGGCTACCGATTTTGTCATTGAGGCCCGTATCGTCAGTTGTCCCTACAATTGTAGGGCGCGTTTATGGCCTCCTTGATTGTCATACGCCTTTCTCTCCTTCAAAAATTTCTAGATTACACTTGTCGCATGTCAGCGTCAGCGCTCTCCTATTGTGAAGATATGCTTTCTTTTTAAATTGTAGGAAATTTCAGGCTGATAAAACATGATATAACACAAAAGCAAGCACAATTTGATGCAAATAGATGTTTGTAACATAACCTCAAAATAGAGTTCTGTCACGGAGAAGTATAAAACTATGACAAGCAAGGAGGCCATAAAGGCGCCCTACAATTGTAGGGACGACTGACGATACGGGCCTGAGTCAACCAAATTCCAATGACACCATCTACCGATTTCGCCCTTTTCGGCTTGGCAACACTGTTGGATGCCATATTTTAATTTTAGTCTTATGTCAGGTTTTTTGTTTTTTTTTGAGATAGTTCATGCAATTTTTACAATTCTTTATCAAAAATTAACAAAGCGAGTGTCCAAAGTCCGCATCCAGACGAACCAAGCTTATCAGACAAAAAGTCAGGTGATCCGCACGTGTCCCGCGCACGCGCGCTGCATTTGTATTTGTAAGTGGTGGAAAGTAGCATGTAATTCTCAATGTTTGAATGAAAGTTCTTTTTATACGATGTTATAACAAATACTCGAATGGTGTAGTGCTTCGTAGTAACCAGTTACATTTGCAGGATGACTTCGCAAGCGGATATAGGTACGAGACTGATACAATGCGCGGAAATCTCATCATCATCAGATAGATACTACAGACCATTCGTGTCCAGTTTTTCATTTAGTGGACGATCTACTTACCGCAGACCCTATAGAAGGCTTTTCCACATACGTTTTCCCAATCCTGTTCCTGTCATGGTTCCTACAGAACAAACTACCTTTGATATTGACCGTTCCTTGCCAGGCCATTGTAGGTTAACCATAGAATCAATTTTGTTAAGATACTTAATTCACTTTTAATTAGCTTATAAGAACTCATTCTAGAGAATTTTGATGAGGACAACCCACATTATTATAGATTATGTCCCAAAGTATCTCTCATGTGTCAAAGTATATGTAAATACTGAAAACTGAACTTCACTTGGGCGCCGGAATGGAGGGAGCAGGGGCTCCGGTTGGACCTTAAACTTTGCATATTCAATATTATTTTGTGTACAAGTAGGAGGATTTTAGTTTTCAGGTAGGGTGAATGTGCCAGTAACCTGGACACTACCATAAGTGAGACAAATCTTACATTATTGGTAAAAACTTGAATATTTGAAATCCTATACTTGCGGGTAATTGTTACCAGATTTATCAACTAATATGAGACAGTTTAGAAAAGTTGCTCAATACACATCTACAGTTGTCATAATGAAAAACAGCATGCTTTTGATTCCTCAATTTTTGTCATTTGTGTAGTGCCAGGACATAAATTTGATAGGGTTAGCTAAAGGGTTTTTTTCATTAAGTAAGTCTCAAATTTAAAATTTAATAAAACGAGTCGTGTACGACATATGATGGAAACTTTAATTGCGTATTAAAGTACATTCAATAGCATTATGTTGTAAAAATTACATCATTGAAATAGCCTCCACCTCTTGTAAAATTCTGCTGCATAAGTCAGGCTGGATCTCACCAATGGTATGAATGATATTGTTCTCCAGTTGGTGAATTTTTTTTGGTTTGTTACCATAAACCAGCAACGTAACGTAACAACACAGAAAAAACAAATCCTAAAATTCCTCTCCCCTGATTTGAAAATTAGATACCAAAATAGCATTCAGTAATTAAGATTCTATTCTTAAGCACAGATGCGGAATTGAAACGAAATGTTTTTTGATGTTTTCTTCCTTTTTTCCAGTGAAAATACCTAAGGATAGTATTTCTACAAAGGCAGCAACCATATCTGTCATTGTAATATTTTTGACATCATTAACTGCGTTATTTCTAGTCTATCAAACATTTCCAAATGTGACTGAGTAAGTATTTCTCTTTAAAGATCTTTGCGATAAATATGTAATATATTGGTGATGTAATATTTGGAACGCCAAAAAAATCTTATGAAGTGACAAATTGTGGAAATAAACCATCCAAATAATGTAAAATATCGTGCATATTGTGGAACATACAGGCTGGCCCTACGGAAAGGTTGCGTCCCCAATTGTGACTCTCCTGTTATATTTTGATTTCTAGCGGAACGTCTTTTTCTCTATAGCCGTACAATACAGTCATTTTCTATTATTTTGGTAATTTGTGGCTCTATTGTATTTTCTAACATGTCCAAGTACATCTCACACTTCAAGTTTTCAGGAATAAAGCTCGTACAATAAGACTTTCGAAAATGCCTGCCACACATTTTTTCAATTTTCAAATTTTAACTTTACACCAAACTTCATCTACAAAGCTACTAGTAATATTGTATTTTAGGGAAGAAAAGCAACATATAAAATTGCCATGGAATATGGAAGATGCAAAACAACTAGGAATTGTTTTAAATCGATATAAAAGTGACCATTATTATCAAGTAATGGCTGGTGTTTTTATCACTTATATATTGTATCCTTTTTATGCATTTGTTTGGATATGTTTATATTGTAAAAAACTAGCAATGCCAAAAAAATTTCAAATCGTATTCTTAAATATTGGTTGGTTAATGTGTCATCTATACATTGACAAAATTACACATTTTCAAAAGCTAAAATAGAATTTTTCCCCTTTACATCCGTTTTTCAAAAGATTGCAATCTATCCTTTTTTTTGCTTAATGTTGGTGAAAAATATTTGAAATTCATACATTGAAAAATAATTTATTTAAATCCTATGTAAGAGCAATTTGATTGTTATTCTGTAACCATATCATTTCAGATAATATCAAATTTGATAAAACCTTACTTTCCATGACATAAGTAGGGTCACATTCTATAAAAATACACACAGTTTTGACGCGGAATTTTGCATTTGGGCAAACAAAATAATATTCCATAGGTATAAATTTTTTGAATGTATATCTTCAATATGTGATGACAGTTTTTCCTTAATTTTTTTTTGATACAGTCTACAAACTTTTGCCATTCCAGGATCGCTATTCTTATCCATACTCTCAGGATTCCTGTTCCCTTTTACAATGGCCTTAGCTTTAGTTTGTACCTGCTCCATGATAGGAGCGACTTTATGTTTTATGCTTTCCCAATTGTTGGGAAGAAAACTGGTGAGTTATCAATTTTGTTGCAGATTTTTAACGTTTTCCAAGTGAAACGCTACAGATTGATCGTATTTCGTTTTTTGTACATTCCAGGTGTTGGCCTATTTTCCAGAAAGAGCAGCTAAATGGGCAGTTCAAGTGAACAAACATCGTGATAATTTATTTAACTACATAGTATTCTTAAGGATAACGCCTTTCTTGCCTAACTGGTGAGTATCACTCCTAACCCGTTATTTATTTGTAATACAACTCGGCGATTCGAAATTTTATATTCATATTAAAGTTAATCGTTTTAGTTCTAATAGGCCAGACCTCCAGCAATTATAAGATAATACATCACGTATTTGTATCATGCATTGGAACGATAATGATTGCAAGTTGACTTATAATACGAGGGCGTGGCAAAAATATGGTTCCTAACGCGCGTGAAGCTAGGCGAAATCTGGCAACACTGTCGTGTTTGTCGGCTCCCCCGTCACCGATCCCAACAAGAAGCGCCTATTTGCGATGCTTAGTACCTAGAATCTTTCATCGACATCACCGCCAGGTGCGAAATTCCTGCGGTCATCCGATTTTTGCACGCAAAAACGTGTATAAGCATTCGAGATGTTCTTAAATGGTGAAGAAGAGCAGGACGGCGTCGATCTCTCTATCTTTACTCATAATCGAGATACCCCGTAATATCATCGAAAATGTGACACCCTGTACATCAAAAGTAGGGTCCTTACCATTTTCGGAGAAATTAAAAATTGGGGGTTAAGCGTTGCAGGGGTTGGAAGAGGGTAAATCTCAATTTTTTGACAGTCGTATACTCTGTTCGTTGAAGGCGTAGGAAATGTAGAGTCGATCTACTCGAGGCCATTTTTTTTTTTTTAGGTTCATCAACCTCTCATCACCTGTGATAGGAGTCCCCCTCGCGCCATTCGCCTTCGGCACTTTCGTAGGCGTGGCTCCGCCCTCTTTTATCGCCATACAGACGGGGCAAACGTTGAACGACATGACAGTCAACGACTCCGCCTTCAATCCAAGGTCGATCATGTGGTTGGCCCTCTTCGCCGTCGTCTCGCTGTTGCCGATCTTCCTGAAGAACAGGTTCAAGCAAAAAGAGGACTAGGATGAAGAAACCGCAACGGGCGAGACGTAGGTTAATTTGTTTTGTTTGCGGGGAAGTAGATAGGGCGATAGTGAAGAATACAGAGTTACCGGTAGAACGGGCGCTCGCGAAAAAGCCTTTGATCTGAGAAACTCGTTTTTTTAGGTGAGTCACTTGAAGAGGTCCCACACTTTTTTATTGATTTATGCAGGGTGGAGCTGTCGTACGTAAGGAATACAGTGTCAAAACATTGTCGAGTAATTGTATTCATACAATATGATTCATGTAATCATTTTATGGCAAGCAAATACCTTTGCTTGATAAATGGCTCTTAGCCTTTTCGTCAATGACTGGCGATGATTCATCTGTCGTGAGGTCGTCTTTGTCACTATGCAACCTCAGTAAACACAGTGCCGATTTTGTCAAAACTTGGTATAAGGTCGCAAGTCGGAAAATTTATTTGTTTTACGATATTCATTCTGAAGTTTGTTAAATGCATTATTTTTATTATGAAGCATAGTATTTTACTGTAATTTAAATATCAAAATATCATGCTACTCCTGATGTTGCCTCAAAATACCTAGACACACACTATTTATACACTTGGAAATCTACAGTGTAAATAATTATTTTATGTTTATGTGCAAATTGTGGGCACGAGATATAAATGATTAAAAGTTTGTCACCAATTCGTAGAAATTCAAATTTATAACATAAACACCACCAGTCTTGTTTTGTTTGTTCTTGCTCGTACAATGGGAATATTTATCGGAATTACCTTTAGCTATTTGACAAACATTATTATCCCTTAGTTCTTATGCTTCTCAATATTTTATTCAAAGTTTCATAACAATCTAATAAAATAGCAAGGTAGCAAAAACGTCAGATGAGCCGGCAACACCGCAATCCAGGTGACACGAATAACAGGGTCAGCTGCCAAAACTAATGTCTAGCCTGGGGTAGCGACGGAGCCATTTTGAGCGTCAATTTTCCAATTTTTGTAAGTGTTGTGCAACGATTTCGGTAAAAATTTACTATTACGGGAGGCAATGAATGGGTGATCGCATCCGAATGGCAGGTAGCATTCCAGCCACCAGAGGCGTAATCTGTTTTTTCGATGGAGTAACTCTTCTGTTGGTAACTCTGTATTCTTTGGTGATAGTCAGATGTTATGGGATAGGAAGGTGGAGCAAGTGTTGAAAAAATGTCAGTCAGCGAGTCGGCAGTTATGTGTTTTGACCACCTTGACTACTGACTATTCTACTTCCTATTTTGTTTTCAATTTTTTGCTGTAAATTATATTGTAAAAACGATCGGGTAAGATATGGTGGAAGATACCGTATTTGTAAAGTAACGATTAGACCTCAGTCATATTGACAGTTCACAATGTTGAAGTCTGATTTGACATTACATCATCGAAGTTGTCAGTCTTTTAAATAGATATTTATTTATCGCCGAACTGACTATAATTAATGAGACATAGACTAATTTCATCATGAAGTCTTGCTTTGGATATATTCGAGATTTAAGCCGCCAAAAAGTGACCCCAAAATACGTTTGCGCGTTAGATTCGAACCTTGAGAATAAACCTAAACAGGCAGACATTAAATTAATCGTTATCATTTTCGAATATATTATGATTTTATGAAAATATATGATATATGTATCGGATATACATAAAATTGCCAGTTTTTTTTTTATTAAAACAGTTAGCATTATTTCTTGGGGTTACTATTGAGATGTAACCTTCAATTTTAATCATAAAAATGCTGACGAATTTGATAAACGCGTCTCAATATTAAAAGACCAACTTATTAAATATATGTCCGTATTGGTAGTACAAAGGTAGTTTCAAAGCACAACTTGATTTTGAAACGACCCTTGTACAATATAAAGCTCTTATTTGAGATGTACCTATAGGAAGTTAATATTGTGTATTGTGGTTGATGTGATTTGATACAGATATATACAAAGAACAAACTAGAAATGATATTTAAAATATTGTATGTGAATACTGAAAATCATTAAACACCAATCGTATGTCGTATATTTTCTTATGTGTGAAAAAGATATATATAGTATTACATAAAATTTATATTCATTGTGGAGAATCTGTTGGGAAAACATGATTTAGATTTACGAACAATTGAAAGCGTTCTATGAATGATTGCATTTCATTTAGATTATTTTAGAGATGCTGTGCATTTTTGAAATTATAAATTGTGTAAACCCGAATATGCTATTTTTTCTAATGAAACAAGCAAAGCGCCTAATAATAAAAACAATAAAATATTGGATGTATGGTGTTGTTGTGCGTAATAAATAGACCAATGTGTTTGATATAAAGAAAAATTTTATTGTAAAATTCTCGATCAATAAAGATGTTTATAAAAAATATAAACGATTAAAAATTTTAGCAGTACGAGTTTACGTAGCTGATGGAAGGTTCCGTAGAATTTGCTACAGGAAGGCTTATCGGTCGCCAATACCACCAGTTGTACCACACTGAAAAAAATAAGTATCCGAATAATAACACTTTCCTATAACAGGCTGAAAAAGTACATATTGTTGTACGCAAAATTAGCGTTGTGCAAAGGCTGATCATAAAGGGCAGCTTTGCCGCTTCAGAGCGACAAAATACAAAAAACGCTTGCTATTACAGCTACGGTCGGACCGGCGACTGAACGCTCCCGCGGTGTCACATGTATAACGTTTGACCATCGACAACTCTTAGCCGTGATGTAACTCGGTACTTACAGACGTGAGATTCTCTGAGAACCACGGAGACTGTCTTGCACTTTTTGCTGCACTCCCTGGATGGTTTCAGCACGACGGTCCTTTCTCCGGATCCTTGCAAAACGAAGACGTAGCCGCACTCCGTGTTCGGCAGTTCGTATGGCACAGCTGCAGGTCCGTCTATTAATAGGAATCTCTCCACGCTTTGACCTACCCTGAAAGAAACGCAATTCGAAAAATTGCTAACTCGAAAGATTACAGCAAATTGGAATCTTATTGGGATGAAATTATGATTGCTTCTTTTTTGAAATGATAAAAAACCAAAAGAAGTCAAGTTATCTTTATTATCAATCGTAAGAAGCCTTCATGAAGAAAATATTGTTCAAGCAAAAGTTGACCTTGAAAATACCTTCAAAGTCATTTGCGGTCGACTTAAGAATGTCAAATTTAACTATCTCGCTGATCCAACCAATGGAAGCAACGAAAAATGTTACGCTAGAAAATGACCTTGGACCCTAGACGGAGACTTGTAGGTTATTTAAGCCAATTTTGAAGTTTTACGTTCGGAAATGACCTTCGCCAGAGCCTCCAAGGTCATTTAAGTCAACTTGGTGAAGTTTTATGTTAGAAACTGACCTTGAGCGAAGCCTTAAAAGTCGTTTAAAAGTCAACTTGGATGTTTTGCGTATGGAAATGACCTTCACCGGAGCCGTCAAGACCATTTAATAGCCAACTTGGTAGTTTTATGTTCGGAAATGACCTTTCGGCGGACCTTGACAGTCATAAGTAAAATTGGAAGTTCTACGTTCGGAAATGGCCTGCACCCACCCTTCAAGGTCATTTAAAAGGCAACTTGGAAGTTTTAAATTCCGGAATGACCTTCATCAGAGCCTTCAAGGTAATTTAAAAGTCAACCTGGAAGTTTTACTTCGTAAATGACCTTCAATGTCATTTAATAGTTAACTTAGTTTTGCGTTCGGAAATGACCTTGGGCGGAGCTTTGAAGGTCATTTGAATTGAAAGACTTGAGAATTTAGCGTTCAGACATGGGCTTGGGTGGAGCCTTCAAGGTAATATTGGTAGTTTAATGTTCAGAAATGAACTTCACCGAAGCCATCAGGGTCATTTAAAAGCCAACGTGGAAGTTTTGCGTTCGGAAATGACCTTCGCCAGAGCCTCCAAGGTCATTTAAGTCAACTTGGTGAAGTTGTATGTTAGAAAATGACCTTGAGCGAAGCCTTGAATGTCGTTTAAAAGTCAACTTGGATGTTTTGCGTACGGAAATGACCTTCACCGGAGCCGTCAAGACCATTTAATAGTCAACTTGGAAGTTTTATGTTCGGAAACGACCTTTCGGCGGACCTTGACAGTCATAAGTCAAATTGGAAGTTCTACGTTCGGAAATGGCCTGCACCAGACCCTTCAAGGTCATTTAAAAGTCAACTTGGAAGTTTTACTTCGTAAATGACCTTCAATGTCATTTAATAGATAACTTAGTTTTGCGTTCGGAAATGACCTTGGGCGGAGCTTTGAAGGTGATTTAAAAGTCTTGAGAATTTAGCGTCAGACATGACCTTGGGTGGAGCCTTGAAGGTAATATTGGCACTTTAATGTTCAGAAATGACCTTCACCGAAGCCATCGTGGTCATTTAAAAGCCAACGTGGAAGTTTTGCGTTCGGAAATGACCACCAGCAGAGCCTTCAGCGACATTTAAAAATCAACTTGGAAGTTTAACGTTAGGAAATGACCTTGGGCGGAGTCGTAAAGGCAACTTGGAAGTTTTACGTTCGCAAATGACCTTCACGAGAACCGTCAAGGTCGTTTAAAACTTGGGAGTTGCATTCAGAAATTAGCTTGGTCATTTAAAAGTCGACTTGGTAGTTTTGCGTTTGGAAATGACCTTCACCAGAGCCTTAAGAGTCATTTAAAACGTGTAAGTTTTAACTTGAAGATTTCACCTTCTGGAATGACCTTACCCTTTAAGGTCACTTAGTGATCAACTAAAAAAAATTAAAATTTTACTATAATTTGTATGGTCCACAAGAGGAAAAGACAGAAACGTTTTTGATTGTATGCAACCTTCCCTTCAGAATTAATTAACATCTAAATAACTTTCAGGTCATGGTTGTTTCCCAGCTGAAAAGGACTTGCTTAGTTACCCCCCTCTGTAACCATGACCAACAGCAGACAGTGTTGTTTCATGCTTATTAGCAACTAATCAGAGCAATATAGGCCTTAGGTCTAGTTTTTGTTTTTTAGAGTTAGTGGGAGGTTAGAAACTTTTTGTACAGCCTATGTACAAAATTCTTCATCAATTTTCATTACCTATCAGGAAGAAACTGAGGCCTCTTGAACACCTGTCTAATCACCCTACCAGGATTCATTTTGTTCAATCTCCATGTCACATGTGCTTCAGAAGGAATGCCATTAGCAAACAAATCTTTTAAATGGTGAATTTGGCGAGTGGAAGATTTAATTTTATGTGCTTCAGGCCCCAGCACAGCTTTATTGGCAGCGTAAAGTTCCTCTAAGGTTTTTAATGTTACTTTTTCTTGATCAATCTGTAAAGGATTTTGAAATGATTTTACAAGATTGTCCCCATGCATCAATATTATATTTGATCTAAACACAAAAAAACTACTAATATAGCTTTCATTCATCTGATCACAGATGCTATTTTGTGCTGTCACATTTTGATAAACAACCTTTTTTTTATGATACTGAATAAAATATCTGATGCAGCTTAGACCTGTTTAAAGTTAATTAAAAAAAATGCGAATGGTCAGTTTGAGTGCACATCTGTCTGAACTTTATCTTTTGTTGCAATCATGCTGAAATATTATTTTAATTACTTTGGCAACAAACGGTGTTCCAGCACCAGACTTGAAAAGCTCCTTATTTTCAGTAATGTCAACCACAGTATTGACATTTTCACACGGCCAACATTCCATTTCAGATACATAAAAGTAAGGATTTTCAATCAGGCAGCTCTCCTCGTATAAATCTAAAAAAAAGAATATTCAACAAACTATGTTCTCTTATTGACAAGACTGCTCTTAACAAGTAGCATGATTATGTAAATATTAGAAACAACCACAAGTATCTTATTATATGTAATGGATCACTCATTAAAGTTAACAGTACTTTTTTACAAAAACATTAAAACAGTCAACTGTCACGTTGCCTTTATTATCAACAAAAGAATCGTGCATGACTATGACTGATTATTTTGTCAAATTTCACTATATAAAACATTTCACTCGATTATCAATATTTTTACCATTTGAGCCTTTTTATACAATATTTATTGATAATTTACTGTGTGAAACAGAATCTTAGTTTCAGCATAAAAAATTGCATTTCAAACACAAAGCTGATCAAGATTGTTTTTATGAATAGAAAATTTTGTTCAAATACAGACTGCTTACCAGTTAAAGATGGGAACAGTTTTATAACAGGTACAGCTAACATTCTAACAAACTTTAATACAGGGTGTGTCAAGCCCTGTACATTCCGCAATACAATACTGTAAGTAGGTTGATGAACACGCAGTAAAACATAAATAAAAGTTATAAATATCATATATAAAATAGAAATAAATATAAAAGTACGGATACATTTTTGAGCTTTGGTCCTTTGTTTACTAGTCTGATTTGAGCCGTGTATTTCGTTCCTTAGGTCTCGCAGTGATTCTTTGAATAGCTCGTTTACTTCTTTGTCGTTTAGGCCCAAGGATTTGGCACTTTTTCGAATTTGGTCTACATCTTTTCTGTATTTTGCTAGAATTTGTTGATCTATCATTTTGGTAACATTTTACATAACCTCACTTTGGCCTCTGACAGCAGCACGGAAGCGAGCTGTCAGCTGTGTCAATCAAGTGCAGTAAAGCCAACCACATACTTTTTTCACGGACTTGCCCGACGTTATAACTATAGTTGCGATTCTGTATATTTGAAGCGTCCGATTTGGATTGCACAAAAACTTATACGCATCTCGTTTCCTTTGTACATCGGCACGGGTATCACACCTTGAAAAGTGACATTATGCCGATTTTTTTGAAATTGTGTAGGTTTTTCGCCAAGACGTTGACTTAGCACTTAGTTCTACGTGTTGCCTAAACGTCATGAGGCTTGTTATCAATCTTTGGCTCTGATGTGATGTAAAATCTGCTTCTGAGATGGCATTACAGGAGGTCTAAGCTGTAAGCATGTGTTGATGATAATTACATTGGGTTCTTGTCTCAAATACACCTAATTGACATTCAAAGCTAGAAATTAGTTGCGCATCCACTTGAAGAAATGATTATATTCACTGAACACTGTTTAATTACAAGCCATGCTAACAGTAATTACACACAACGCGGGCGCGGTGATGATTTCCCGTAATTTTCCTCAGTTGTTCGTAATTTATAGCTTTGAACATAACCTCTCTTCAGACAGCACAACATATAAATAACCCATCATATTCAACATATTCAGTAATGATTTTCTCACACAGCAAATATCACTGATTTTATACATATGCAAACCAATACACATAATCATCCAGAGATAAAAACTACAGCCTCGGATCACTCAGCCTCACAAAACTATGCAACCAATAATGCGTGTAGTTTAGTTGAGTGATTCCTTCATAGATGGACGTTCACAACGATCTTAGTGAGCAAACATGGAATGACTGTGCCCTAAAAACTACCTAGTCTGCAAGTTGACAAGTTATAGGGTTTTTTGACGTTTTGTGGGTTTTTTGCATGATACCCGTGTCGGTTAATTTGTGAAGGTATTAGAAAGTGCACCACCATGATCAAACTTTAAGGTAGCTTTATATATGAATCAGAATAAGCATGCAGATGTCTCTACTCAATGTTAACAATTTTAATTTTGGAAATTCGTAACTAGAGGATTGTATTTACATTTAATGAAATAGTTCAAATGTTGCTACAATAATACGTCAATATTTAAGTATACACAGGATCTCAGGGCAATAACAAACTAGAATGCTGTCAGGGGTCAGGGTCCTCATACTTTCAGTTTTAAGGCAGAAATAGTATGGGTCAACGAAGAAAGTAGAAGCGCAATAAAGCCAGCCACATACCGTTTCCGTCAGACTTGCCCGATGTGCTACTCACAGATGAGATTCTGTACAGTGTGCCAATTTGACGCTGGTAACGGAATAAAATGTGAAGCACTGATGTTCTAATTTTAAGGTAGCTATACACGAAAAAAATTGTGTGAATCAGTATAAGCATAGCAGATGTCTGTACTCAATGTTAATTTTGGAACTTTTCGGTATTGTTCGTTTAGATATTTCGTCGATAAATTGTGAAAACAAGACAGAAAAGTTGCACGAAAAAGTTGTATTCAAGAAGTATCAAAAACAAGTCACTTTAGATGTGGACAATTTCAAAAAGTTTTTTCATTAAAATAAAAATGTCATACTTTTCTATTGTTTATTATTCCTTTATACATAACATATACTATAAAACACAATGTTTAATGATACATCAGCTTCCGATCTTAAGGTTCCTTTACAGTGTACCTATATAAAACAAAAATAAATGTACCTTAAAGATTTAGGTATTTTACATAACCAAAAGCAGTATTTAAAAAATCGGCAACACTAAATTTGCTTTCTAATTTGGGACAATCATTTCGCAGCTTAACGTGAGTTAGACCCATCAATTGTCAAGCTGGATATAAAATCTTTCCATGCGATGCGGGAGCTTTTAAAAATCTTATCCTACATTATAGTTAATATATAAAAAACGAAACTATATGATTGTATTTACATTTAATGAAATAGTCTAAATGTTGCTACAATAATCCATACACTACAAGTTTAAGTGTACACAGGATCTCAGGGTAATAACATCAATCCGCATACTTTCAGTTTTCAGACAGAAATAGTGGGTGAAGGATTAGATATAAGCGCAAACGCAATAAAGCCGGCCACATACCTTTTCCGACAGACTTGCCCGACGTGGTAGTCATAAATGCGATTCTGTATATTCTGTCAATTTGACGCGTTAAGCCCCCCATCCACGACATCGAATAATATTGAATGGTATCCAAACGTTATTCATGAACGTAGATATCTGAATGGAAAGAAGACATGTCTTTATCAGGAAAGAAATTTCGTATTTTTGTGATGTCATAACAGCCTGAATCCTGCGAAAAGTAAGTGATATATTATTAGTAATAATGGTTTCTGCGTATGTATGCCTATTGGATCGCCAAGGGCATTTAAGCAGTTGTTGTATGAACCCAGGTGGCAGTCGAAGTTTGCGCTTCTCCGGGCCTCAGGTCATTGGGGTAAGTCACCAGGAACAGTTCGTGACCATTGATGTATCTGAAACAGATGAAAAAATTGTGTAAATTAACTAACAATATAGCACAAACAGATTTGTTTAAAATTGTCACAACTATTGGAGTTACAACAAAGTGTTTGAATATTTTCCAAAGACTAGGATTGAAACCAAAATAATAATAATTCCCAACAATTAATGTCTTCTCCCTGAAAATAAGAATGACCCTAATATATTTTCATACAAAAATAGAACTTACAGATTCCTGTTAGGTACCCTGACCGTGGTGGTCCTCTCGGCCGCTTCCAACTGCTCTGGAGTGTACTCGGTGAGCAAATGTCCGGCAGCTTCGTCATCTTCAATGTGCAATTCGGTGCTCAGCTCCTCTTCGTCGATTATCACCTCGTGTTTCTCCACTTTGGTCAAGTTACGAACCGGTTTCACTCCGGGCGTCTTGGCATGGGTGCTAAATCAAAAGAAAACTCGAATCAAGAAAGGGTATAGATGCGTACGAGGTGTAGCAGGCTGGCAACACTGCGAGGGATCTGGCAACGCTCTTGTCCTTCACTTTTGTTTTTTGAATATACTAAATGGTATAGAAAGTGCAACACCGACTAGGAGTTCTGTAATTTTGAGCATACTTTTACAAGTTTTAGTCTACTGATAAATAGAAAGTGATAAAAATTTTAACGCGAAATTTCTGAAAACAGCTTAGATGTCCCAGCTTAATGTACCGATTTCTTTGATTAGCGCCCCCCCACCCCAAAAAAAAGTTCAGTCTTTATGCGCTAAAGTGTAGTCTTGCCTCTTTGTCTTACTTTTCACAAATACTTACTTCTGGTGCCGTTTCATATCGGATCTGACCCTGAACGGTTTCCCGCAAACGCTGCACATGTGCGGCTTCTCTCCGGTATGAATCTTCCTGTGATTCTGCAAGTACGACGACGCCCTGAACGTTTTCCCGCAATATTCGCACTTGTAGTTCCTTTCGCCGGTGTGTATGCGACGATGCACGACCAACGAATATTTCCTCGCGAACTCCTTGCCGCAGTACTCGCACTGAAAGTTCTTCTCGGTCGAGTGCAGAGACGTGATGTGGTACTTCAAGTCGCCCCATTGCCGGAATCGTTTGCCGCAGTGCTCGCAACTGTACGGTTTATCGCCGGAATGCAGACGCATGTGCACCTGAATACAAAGACGAGTATTAACAGGGTGGCCGATATGTAACTGCCTGGTTTGTATCTTGAATAGTTGTGAGATGAAACAAAATACGTCTATTTTTTCATCTTAATCTTTTGTTGAAACTTAGAAATTACGTGTGAAAAATAATATCAGACAAATGTCCGCCTCGTCGATGGATGACACGAGGGTTCTCTAATGCCCAGATTCGACAATTCTACTTATTAACACATACGTTCATATCGAAGTGGGCTTCATCGCTCATTACACTGGACAAATTTTAGTTTTTTAATTGTATCTTGTGGGAAAAGTGCACTTCTTTGTTAATTTTGGGGCGCTGAATCCAAAAATGACAATGAAATAAAAAAATTAGTTGCGGTTTAGAAAAAAAACTTTTTATTTTTATGGATATATTAAAAAAAGTACTAAGATTCATATACTTATAAGAATCACTATATGCGCTGTCTTTTTGCTGTTCTTTTATGGATCGTTTCTGGAGCGTCTCTACCAAGAGTCCAACAGTAGTCTGCAAGCATGGAAGGATTCCACTTTCCCTGGAACATTTTTCCATTGTTGAAATATCCTGATGAAAACGTTCGCCGTGCTCATCACTTACGGCTCCGCAATTGTCAGGAAAAAAGTCCAGGTGTGAGTGTAGGAAATGTATCTTAAGAGACATATTACAGCCCATCTTTTGATACGATGACAGCATATTTTTGACAAGGGTTTTATAGTTGTCAGCTTTTCTATTTCCCAAGAAATTAGTGACCACCAGACGGAAATCATTCCAAGCAGTTTTTTCAATACCTGTTAAAGTGTTTTCAAACTGTATATCTTTCAAAATATTTCGAATCTGTGGCCCAACAAAAATACCTTCTTTAACCTTTGCCTCACTTAGTCTTGGAAATTTCTGACGCAGGTATTGAAAAGCTGACCCATCTCTATCTAATGCCTTGACAAAGTTTTTCATTAGGCCCAACTTGATATGCAGTGGTGGTAATAAAATTTTTTTCGAATCTACTAATGGCATATGCTGTACATTTTTTTGACCTGGCTCTAGGAATTGACGAACAGGCCAGTTTTGTCTGGTGTAATGAAGTGCCTTTGCCCGACTGTCCCATTCACACAAAAAACAGCAAAACTTTGTGTAGCCTAGCTGCAGCCCAAGTAAAAGTGCAACAACTTTCAAATCGCCACAAATATGCCATTGGTGCTCATCGTATTTCATGCATGTCAATAGGTACTTACTTCATATTGTCATATGATTCTTTCATGTGAACTGCATACCCTACAGGAAGAGATGGTAAAATATTTCCAATATGCAATAACACTGCCTTTAAACTCAATGTTGAACTGTCTATAAACAATCTCCATTCTTCTGGGTTATAGTTTATATTTAAAGCCGCCAGTACGCCGTTAATGTTACTGCAGAAAACCAAGTTATTCTCCATATTGAAAAATGGTTCTAAGTCTTTGTGGCGTTTACGAAAAACACATACCGAAACATCGTCTTCTAACAAGTTCCACTGCTGCAGTCTTGATCCAAGTAACTCTGCCTTACATTTTGGAAGTTCTAAATCTCTTACAAGATCATTTAATTCTGACTGTGTTATTTTGTGCGGTTGGTGGCATGACGTGCTCGGTATAAAATCAGGATCTCTTGACGTTGATGGCATATCTTCTTCCTGACGAATCACTCGATCGCCACGATCTGATTCGTTTTCTGATTCGCAAGTGTAGGATTCTGGGGGTTTTGGAATAGGATTTTCGTCACTGTGAGGCACAGGTCTCATCGCAGATGGTATGTTTGGGTAGTTAATAACCGATTTTTTTTCTTGGACATACCTGTGGCTTGTCCAACACAAGGTACCATGCAAAAGTAACAATCATTAATATGATTTGTAGGCTCTCTCCAAACCATTGGGACAGCAAAGCGCATAGACCGTTTTTGCCATTTAACCAGCTCCTCAGACTTGAAGCACATGTATTACTGCAGATGTGGGGTGCCCACTGTTTGTCTTGATCACCTAGTTTATAACCGAAATAAAGCTGATATGCCTTTGTTATTAGTGGAGTAATAGACCGTCTCTGAGACGCAAAAGTCACATCACCACACACGTAACAAAACTGATCTGGATTGTTTACACACTTTCGAGACATCTTGCTTGAACGCTGTCAGCCAACTGAGGAAAAAATGGCTAATATAAAACAATATAATGTACACGTATGTATAACGTAACACAATCATGCCGATTACATGATCTTTCCTTGCCGAATATAAAAATGTAGCACGTGCATTCTTGTGAATTACAGTATATTAACACTGTCACAGCAGGAACACATATAATTACCGTATCTCTAAAACTTGAACTAATATTGAAAAAATAAGTTTCATTCCGGTTTTAGCACATTAAAAATAGTAATATTTTGTTGATTTTATTTAGGATGTTTTTTGGCTGTTGATCAGTATCAGTTGTCGGTAAAAATAGTTATTTTGGGTATTAAGCTGCAATATTACATATACGTAACTGTATTGTCGCCGTTTTTTATGGTCACTAGGCTGTAGTTCTTGGGTTATCAGAATTGTAAATGTAAGTATTTTTTTTTTAATAGTGCATAATGACGTGCGACGAATGCCAGTCCTTGAGAACGATGTCTGGTAGACGTCTCAGGGCGCTCCACTACACTTTCACGAACTCTCTCTCGATATTTTCCGGAGTACGAACACGACCCGAGCTTTAGTCTTTAACTTCACTGTTTGTATAAATTTCCGCATCAACTGATGAATGGTGTTGACACAGGGCTCATTATTACGACTGAAATCGTCGTAGCTTCCGGATCGTTGTAACAATCGACTCATCATTTAAGTAAAACTGTTTAACAATACGGACGCGTTGTGTGATCGTGTAGCGCTCCATGATGAATTGGACACATGTGCTTTAAACAACTACTACCGCGCCAGCTACTGAAATGCGTGTATCAAAAATGGTGCGCAATTTCAATCATCCAGTTATACAGGGTGACTTCGAAGTTGAGTCATTTATTTTAACAGTGAGTAGATCTGATCTAAAGAAATGTTTTTTTCCTTTACCATTATTCTGGTAAAATTAAAGTAACAAAGTTATAGCCCTTTGGAAGTTTGAGTACCGCCCTGTCTCAATAATAATATCATGTGCTCGTGTTTGGCAACAACGGATATAATCCACCTTATCGGTTCATCGCATCGGAAACAAAAAAGCGAAAGAATTTGGAACGATGTTTTTACAATTATTTCATTCAGTTCAGTTATAAATACAGTCAGTGTCAGTCGCGTGTGAATAGTGTCTGTTGCGTGGCTCAAACGAAATAAAAAATGGCACATGTTTATGCGGATCGGTTTCCCAATCGAGTGCAACCAACCCCTCGTGCCTTTGTTAATGTAGTACAAAGGGCTCGTGAATCAGGTGACTTAAGACCTCACAGGGGACGGCATGCCGGTGCTCCAAGACCTCACGATCAAATACAGGTCCGCACTGAAATACTTGTCGGGAGGATACTTTATAAAACAAGGTAAAAATTTTTTTATTTTTTTTTATTTTTACACACATATTTTGGTTTATCTTCCTTCTACAATCATTATCTGAAAATTAATGACTCAACTTCAAAGTCACCCTGTATATTGGCCACTCTGTATATTCACGTTTGAAACAGCAGAAAATGGCGTTAAGTATGTTCGTTACTACGAAAACTGGAGCTATACGGTGTAAGGCGTTTTCCACTTATGTGGTTTGAGAGCTACCTAAACGATAAATCTCGATATGTACAAGTTGGCAACCTCAAATTCTGCTCAACCACATGCGATATTGGAGTTCCTCAGGGCTCAATGCTCGGACCTATGCCAAATGACAAATAATACTGTTGGCGCCATCTGTTGGGCGAGTCTCCTACTCGCCAGAGCTTCATGGCCGATCTCTTTTTTCTTTTACGCGAACCACGACCGCACAAGCCGCTTGCCGGCGTCTGTGAGGACCGTGGCAGTGACTCACTTTCTAGATCGACGCGAAGTGACCTTCAATATTCTAAATGCCGCTTTGTGGTTCACCAGACCTTTCTCGAAGCAGCAATGGGGACTATATATAACTCGGCGGCCGGGAGATGGAAACAGAGTACGTAGAACGGTAGAGTAGCAGAGCAGAGTGGAGTATAGTGCAGGCAATGGCGACATAAGAATTAGTCAGACACAAATAAAAATAGTGGATTTCTTTTTGTGGAATCCAGTGCTTTAATCCACACCCAAAAGAACCCAGAAAAACGCTACAATAATATACGTAAATGATTTAAGCGGCAACGACTTTGTTATGTCTGCAGATGGTACGTCTCTCTTAGTAGATGCTAACGCAGTACCGTACCAACTATGGAATGTTTTAAGACTGCAATTTCCTGCTCACAAGCTTTCCAAAACGAAAAATGATCCTAACTGGTACCGAAGTTGGAAGCTGTATGCGGTGAATCGCTGTAAATTGTTGCATGTGAAAAACCTTCTATTATTAAAAAGCTGCTGATCTCAAAGATACTACGCGCCTGATACACATAATAAATCACACATATTTTCCCTACATCTGCCATGGAAACAGAAATGTGATAGATTGGCTTTATATAGTTTGACATGAAATTGTTATTAAACAAAGACTAACCTTGAGAGCGCTAGACGCAAAGAAACTCTTGCCGCACTGGTCGCATTGATGCGGTCTGATTCCGGTATGGCTACGCATATGGTACACCAACGAGTTCCTGTGCGTGAATTTTCTGTCACATTCGGTACATTCGTGCGTAGCTTTCTTCTGTTTCTTCTTGTTGATCTTCTTCACCACTGCCAGTGGGGCGGATTCTGAAACATTTTCATTATATGTCAATAACATAAATCAAAAGAAAATTCTCCAGAAACAGCAATCCGAATGGTGGTGGAAGGCTGGAGAAGAAGGATAGATGAGAAACAATGTATTGTAACAGTATTATTAGACTTGAGGCTATAGATAGGGAAAAATTACATCACTATGGTTTTAAACGATCAGTATTAAACAATTAACATAATTATTTGGTAGATAGAAGTCAAGAAAACGATGATTAAATGCAATGGTACTCCGGTATCAATAGACGACCAAAAAAAGGCTAGAAAATAGTTTACCGGTAGCACTGCTCCCGTTGGATGCCCTGCAAGTGACCAAATGTTGCAGCAAAATGGCCCTAAGAGGGAACGGTTGCTTGCAAAGGTGGCAAACGTGATCATTGCCGGCTTCTAATTCCCTCAGATCCTCTTCTGTTTGGTGGAGATCTTCTTCGCGATACCACGCCTTAGAGTCGTCTTCTTCATCCGCTGCATCGTTACCGTCTACCACCACGTTTATACCTGAAAAAAGGACACGATTTAAGAATCATGAGTAATGAGAATGAGAGAATGAGAAAAGAGAATTTTACTTGTAAAGAAAGAACAACAAGTGTAAAATAAATAAAACTATCTCGCTTTCCATAAGAAAATAAGAAATAGAAGGGTAAAAGAAAACAAAGTAAAGATAAGTAAGTAGTATGAGACTAACAAATGAACATCCGTCTCACCTTCCATAAGATCCTCAGGATCGCTGAACTCGTCGACCTGCTCCTCCTTGTTCGAGTGAATATCCCGCATATGCGCCTCGAAAGTCTTCTGTCTGCGAAACGTTTTGTTGCACTGGATGCAAGTCAAGTTGAGCAAACTGCTGAGGAGGCTTTCGTGGCGCTCCACTGACTCCACCGGAGGCGGTTGTGGCTCGTCGTGGACGTCGTCGTTTTCTGCAGGCGGTTCTTGCTTGGTCACCACTTGGACGACGGTAGATGACGGGCCGGTCGGCAGGCCGCCACCGCCGGGTTCGTAATGCTTTTTCAAGTGTTCGAAGAATCTGTGGAAGGGAAACAGAACTATATATTCCACCTAATACAATTGAATTGGGTACTTTGAGAGGTAAGGCTCCCTTCACGCAACTGTAAACTCATCCGGTCTTTAGGTGCGGCTCACGCAGATTGAAAGAAACTTCTCACAGAGTAGCCTCCCACCACTTACGTGTCAAGATGGAACGATGGTCACCGACTCAAAGGAAGTGCTTGCCAAGATATCTGCTGCCAACTCCAGAATGGACGTCCTCCCCCTCGCCCGAGTGCCATCGATTTAAAGGATTCCCTACACTATGCGGGAAGTAACATTCAGGCATAAGAACTTTGTTCGTCGTGTTGTGTCAGACTTTTTTCGTCAGGTGATGTCCCACTTTATTTCGTCAGGTCGTCACCCACTTCTCTCGTCGTGTCCCACATTTTTTCGTCAGGCTGTGTTCCAATTTATTTTTCGTCGACTGTGTCCCAATTTTTTCCGTCAGGTTGCACTTTTTTTGTCGAGTTGTGTCGCACTTTATTTCGTCAGATCATGTCCCAATTTTTTTCGCTGGTTTGTGTCGGACACTTCATTTCGGCAGATCGTGTCCCACTTTTTAGGTCAGGTCAAGTCCCACATTTTTCGTCAGGTCGTGTCCCACTTTAGCCGTCAGGTCCTGTCCAACTCTTTTTTGTCAGGTCGTGTCTGACTTTTTTCGTCAGCTCATGTCCCACTTTTTTCTTCCGGTCGTCTCCCACTTTATTTCATCTGGTCATGTCCCATTTCATTTCGCCAGGTCGTGTCCCACTTTATTTCTTCAGGTCGTGTCCCACTTTAGTCTTCAGGTCCTGTCCAACTCTTTTTCGTCCGATCGTGTCCCACTTTATTTCGTCTGGTCATGTCCCATTTCATTTCGCCAGATTGTGTCCCACTTTTTTCGCCAGGTCGTCTCCCACTTTATTTCATCTGGTCATGTCCCATTTCATTTCGCCAGGTCGTGTCCCACTTTATTTCTTCAGGTCGTGTCCCACTTTAGTCTTCAGGTCCTGTCCAACTCTTTTTCGTCCGATCGTGTCCCACTTTATTTCGTCTGGTCATGTCCCATTTCATTTGGCCAGATTGTGTCCCACTTTTTTCGTCAGGTCGTGCCCCACTTTATGTCGTCAGGTCCTGTCCAACTCTTTTTTGTCAGGTCGTGTCTGACTTTTTTCGTCAGCTCATATCCCACTTTTTTCTTCCGGTCGTCTCCCACTTTATTTCATCTGGTCATGTCCCATTACATTTCGCCAGGTCGTGTCCCACTTTATTTCTTCAGGTCGTGTCCCACTTTAGTCTTCAGGTCCTGTCCAACTCTTTTTCGTCCGATCGTGTCCCACTTTATTTCGTCTGGTCATGTCCCATTTCATTTGGCCAGATTGTGTCCCACTTTTTTCGTCAGGTCGTGCCCCACTTTATGTCGTCAGGTCCTGTCCAACTCTTTTTTGTCAGGTCGTGTCTGACTTTTTTCGTCAGCTCATGTCCCACTTTTTTCTTCCGGTCGTCTCCCACTTTATTTCATCTGGTCATGTCCCATTTCATTTCGCCAGGTCGTGTCCCACTTTATTTCTTCAGGTCGTGTCCCACTTTAGTCTTCAGGTCCTGTCCAACTCTTTTTCGTCCGATCGTGTCCCACTTTATTTCGTCTGGTCATGTCCCATTTCATTTCGCCAGATTGTGTCCCAATTTTTTTGGTCAGGTTGCACTTTTTTTGTCGAATTGTGTCGCACTTTATTTCGTCAGATCATGTCCCAATTTTTTTCGCTGGGTTGTGTCGGACACTTCATTTCGGCAGATCGTGTCCCACTTTTTAGGTCAGGTCAAGTCCCACATTTTTTCGTCAGGTCGTGCCCCACTTTTTTCGTCAAATGATGTCCAATTTTTTTTCGTCAGGTCGTGTCCCACTTTAGTCGTCAGGTCCTGTCCAACTCTTTTTTGTCAGGTCGTGTCCCATTCCATTTCGTCAGGTCGTGTCTGACTTTTTTCGTCAGCTCATGTCCCACTTTTTTCTTCCGGTCGTCTCCCACTTTATTTCATCTGGTCATGTCCCATTTCATTTCGCCAGGTCGTGTCCCACTTTATTTCTTCAGGTCGTGTCCCACTTTAGTCTTCAGGTCCTGTCCAACTCTTTTTCGTCCGATCGTGTCCCACTTTATTTCGTCTGGTCATGTCCCATTTCATTTCGCCAGATTGTGTCCCACTTTTTTCGTCAGGTCGTGCCCAACTTTATGTCGTCAGGTCGTGTTCCACTTTGTTTCGTCTGGTGATGTCCCATTCCATTTCGTCAGGTCGAGTCCCACTTTTTCTGTCAGGTGGTGTCCCACTTTTTTTCGTCAGGTCGTGTCCCACTTTTTTGTCAGGGCCTATCCCACTTTAGACCGCAAGCTCGAGTGCCATTTCATTTCGGACGGTCGTGTCCCACTTTTTTCGTCAGATCCTGTCCCACTTTATTTCGTCAGGTCGAGTCCCACTTTTTCTGTCAGGTGGTGTCCCACTTTTTTTCGTCAGGTCGTGTCCCACTTTTTCGTCAAGCCATATCCCACCTTAGACTGCAAGCTCGTGTCCATTTCATTTCGGACGGTCGTGTCCCACTTTTTTGGTCAGGTCGAGTCCCACTTTTTCTGTCAGGTGGTGTCCCACTTTTTCGTCAGGCCATATCAGACTTTAGACCGCAAGCTCGTATCCATTTCATTTCGTCTGGTCGTGTCCCACTTTTTTCGTCAGATCCTGTCCCATTCCATTTCGTCAGGTCGAGTCCCACTTTTTCTGTCAGGTGGTGTCCCACTTTTACGTCAGGCCATATCCCACTTTAGACTGCAAGCTCGTGTCCATTTCATTTCGGACGGTCGTGTCCCACTTTTTTCGTCAGATCCTGTCCCACTTTATTTTGTTTGGTCGTGTCCCATTCCATTTCGTCAGGTCGAGTCCCAGTTTTTCTGTCAGGTGGTGTCCCACTTTTTTTCGTCAGGTCGTGTCCCACTTTTTTCGTCCGGTCGTGTCCCACTTCATTTCATCTGGTCATGTACCATTTCATTTCGCCAGGTTGTGTCCTACTTTTTTCGTCAGATCTTGCCCCACTTTATGTCGTCAGGTCGTGTTAAACTTTGTTTCGTCTGATCATGTCCCATTCCATTTCGTCAGATCGAGTCACCCTTTTCGTGTCAGGTGGTGTCCCACTTTATTTCGTCAGGTCGTGTCCCACTTCGTTTCGGCAACATTTATGTAGTACGATCTATAAGAAACGCGTGGTCCGTTGCGTATATAGACACAAATAAAAAGAAAAGAAGCTCCGTTTGCGGCTAAAGTTAGGAATAGGAAGCAACGTTTTGTAAAATTAATCTACATCATGAATAGTCGAAAAGTTTTGTTGTTGGCGCCTTGTGTGGTCTGTATTTGTGCAGGAACGATAATGATAGGAAAAATAGTTATGTACCTTGAGGTGCCCCAAACATGCAAAATTAAAACACGTAACGTACCAATGGTATTACTTACTTCAGTTGATCGGTGAACGGAGTGTTGCAGATCTGGCACGCGAACGAATTCGGTAACGAATTGACAGGCGTGATGGTCGTCTGGCACAGCAATTCGTGTTGAGCAAACTCATCCTGACTAGTGAAAATCTGCTCGCACTGGTTGCACACGATCTGCTTTCTGGCTGCTGAGCTGGTGCTCGGGCCACCTGCAGTGTTTGGCGCCTTTTTGTTCAGCTTGCGAGAGATGCGCTTCTTATGCGGTAGGCTCTTTTTCGACGTGCGTTGTTCGTTCCTGAAACGATAAAGCAATTATTAGACTGATGTAAAATGAGTACATTTCACTCAAAATTTCTAGTTACTACTGTTGTTTCATCTGGTGGCCGCAGGGGTCAGTTCTGGGGACTCTCCTATATTTAATTTATATGTGGAATTTTGTTCTATAAAAACGTATGCTGATTCTAAATACTTTATCTTTCCATATTATCTACTTACTTTTCTCTTTCTTATTTTTTGTTTGTTTGTGTATCAAGTCTATCATTGTTACTTCTTTTCACCCTTTACCTAAACTTCGCCTCCCTGATAAGCAGTAATACAGACATTTATTATTATTATAACAGGGTGAAGGCGAGATTCTGAAAAAAAGTATAACGTCTTCAGGCCTAAGGATCAAATTAAATATATCCAAAGACCATGAGCGTTCTTAAACACGAGGTGAAAAATTGTACGGGTGATTCTTCAGCCGTTCTTTTTTTTGAGCGATGCAAAAAGAAAAATCGACTTACCTAAGCGATTCCCTATCAGAATCTCCCTTATCATCTTCCTTCTTGACCAATTGATGGTTTTGCTGAGGAACTTCCTCCACGACAGTCGTAATTGTAACTGTTTCTTGGTCTTCATCTTGATGTTGCACCTGCTGGAAATTAATTGACAAGTTGACAACATACAATTGCGACATTATTCACCTGAGTATTTTTGTCATTATTTGCCCACGGGTAGAAAATAATGGTGATTTCTTCAGTTAGTAGTGAAAAAAACGAATCATGTCATGCTAGAATCCTGTTGCGCGATTTTACGTTTGAACTTGAAGGCCGTTTTGCTACTTATCATCAGAAAAACATCTTAGAATATACTTTTGGGTACAAAATATGGAAATAAGTTTTTTAGAAAATAGCCGATTGCGGCACTAAATGAATTTATTATAGTACGACAGACTTATAGTCTGCTTACGATTTTAATCGACGGTTGTAAAAGAGTTATAAAACCGAGAAGGAGGTGAGGGCTAGCTGTTTAAGTCGCTTGATTCATGGCACGCTATTCGCTAAATTCAAAACAATTATATGGAAATATGAGTGCTTTTTACGCTTTAGCAGAAAAAAACAAGTATGACGTGAACTATACCTGAACCTGCTGTGCCGCAGAGACGGTGGTCACTGGTTGCGCCTGAACCGCGGAGAACTTGACAGCGTCCACCAATTTCGGCAGTGCCTGTTGCTCCACGTAGATGTTGTCCGAGTTGACTATGCGCAGGAAGCTGGTCGTACCGCCTTTCTCGTTGCTGATTATCAGTGGCTGGTCTTCTAGGATCTTGGCTCCTTCAATAACAGGTATACTTACTTGTAAACAAAGATACATGAGATGAAGAAAATATTTAAAAAAATATGTCGACGTCAAAACCTAAATAAAAATAAAATTGCCAATAAAACACTTAAAATATCTCTCATAAGATTTAAAATAGGCACGGTGATAATCGATGCTGTAGTACAAAGAACAAACATCATAGTGCAAGTCGTAAGTGCCCGTCAATGATGCACGCCGTGACCAGCCCGTGGAAAATGCTCGTCGCTATTGGATGTGGAATATGCACATCGTGATTGTCCGTCAAGAAAGCTCGTCGTGATTGCACGTTCATGATCGTACGTCGCGACCGCACGTCAGTAATACACGTCGTGATTGTACCACAGGAATGCTAGTCACGAATGCCCGTCCGTAATCCACGTCGTGATTGCCCGTCTGGAATCAGCATCGCATAGTAATAGCTTTTGTAATCTGGCCAGTACTTTCATAGTTACAGAGAAGCCAAGGATTAGCGCAGCCAGACAGATAGATCAACGGAAATATGTGACATGGTTCATTGTGATGTGCATGTAAAATATCTCATTTTCAAATGGAAATTACCCAAAAAATGTTATTTTCATCATAGTTATTATATCAATTCATGTCTCAAGATCTGCCTTCTTGTATCACTTTTTTCTATAAAATTGGAGTAGCACTTAAAAATCTATAATGCATATTATGGATATTTTTTCGATTAATTCACTTATTTTTATGTCGGTAGTCTTGGCACATCATCTTTTAACTAACATTTGACCACTTGTGTCTGCAGTTCTGAGCATTCTATAATCAATACTGTTAGCATTAATTCTATTAATAGACGTTCTACTATACCATCTTCTTATTTCAATATTTCAGCTAGAATTTCAATATGTATGATGGAATTAACCTTTGTAAAAATTTCCCAAAATTAACGTTTGTCATAAACTCACCTAAGCTTGTGTTGGCGACAAGAGATGGCAAGCTTCCGGCATCTTGAATCTGCTGTTGTTTCTGCTGCTGACTCAACTGCACAGCAACCAAGGCGGCTGCAAGGTTTCTATCTTCCTCTGTGAGATCTTGCGACAACAAATCCTCTGAAGAGTAGCTGACTGGTATAAAATCCGTGCCTCCCAAATCAACTACAAGTCCATTGTGATTCTGTAGCAGCTCGGAGCTGAGCAACTGAGAATTCTCAGGGATACGCTGGATCATATACTGGGGTGTGGTGGTGCCATCTCCGATGACTATATTCTCTAGCGTCTCTCTCGTTGCTTTGTTCGCCTCCATTTTGAACAAGCCTCCAAGGGCAGGGTGCTATTGTAATAATAATCAAAATAAAAAATTTTTACATCAACCACATTAGTGGCAAATATTTAAATGTAATGTTTGTATGTATTTGTTTTTCTTATATTTTTATTTATCATTGCATGTATCTCTTTAACAATGACTGCACCAAATATGTATATTTATAATTTTATTCTATATGAACAATAAAGTGTGAGGTTGTACACTGAATCTTTTTTCCTTTTTTAAATATGCATTTTTCTGTCAGTATAGCTTTTTTAATAAACTGACTCAGAGAAATGTGATATAAGATAAGGCTGGGAATTTGTTGGGCCTGCAGGTGAGAAATGATTTTATGTTAATGAGAATTTTAAATATTCAGTTATCCATCATTTCTTCAATGTATTTCAAAGATTCCTGCAAGGCAAGCATTTTTCATTGTTCCATAAGTTCCCATAGTGAAAATACTGCCAGTCAGTATATCTCCTTTGGACCAATAGGATCGATGGACGATGCGTATAGGAATTTTAAAATATTGATCGACTAAATTCAAGGATTTTGGATATCTGGGAGCTTTATTCTGAAAAACCAGAGCGTCTGGCAACCACAGTTTCGCCAAGGATCCCTCCAAAAATGCCAAAGAAGCGCCACTGATTTTGCTTTACGTTGACACCATGTTTCAAGGTCAGCGTTTACGGAGAAATAATACAAGGAATTTGACGATTTCAGCTTACCTTTTAGCACTGGAGCCTCAAATTTATCGTTATTCGGTGCCCCAAAATGTAGAATACGCGATGAACAGCTCGGAAAAGTGTCGATTTCCAATTAAATATCAAATAATAACATTAAAATTGACAACAATGCACTAACGTGATGCATAGACGCCATGCTGCTGTTAACTAAGCTGCGTTCCGTCAAATAAAACCGACATTCCCATTGTTTGCTATATAACATTTCCTGATAAACGCCGAAAATACAACAGATTATGGAACTTTATCACTTAAAATAATATTGTTCATTTGAAAAGCAGCTAATATGTCTCTTAAATTTGCAATTTAGATAAAGGACTGTAGAAAAATCAATGCAATATTGTGCTGCTGAACGCGGTACGGCAACGTCAGGTTTTTCTGTCTTCTGTCAAAATGCTTCGTCGTCAGCGTTGCCAAGCTTCAAAATATGTAATAGAAACTAGATATCTTCAAAACTTTCTGAACATAATGAGCTCTTACACAAACAACTATTGCTCAAATAGACCACTAATATACTTTTGTCTATAACGAATCTCACTATCTTTACAAATTCGTCATAATAAATGTAACATTTGAAACTTACACTCAGCATATTTACAATATTTCAAATAAATTGAGAAGTAAATGCGTAAATGGAGTGGGTGAATATTTATGTTTTGTGAATTCAAGATCCGAATGATCTTTTGGTATTATCTTATACTGTGGTCTTTGTCATTTCCTAGCTAGAATAGTAGTAGTTAGTAGAAGTAGCAGTATATTTAGCTAAATTCCAAACTAAAGTTCACATGGCATGTCACAAGAAAGTGGTACAATAAAATATCACGATAAATGTGAATCGAGTTAGCACAGCTGTTACACCATACTATAGATAACACAATTTAAAAAGCAAGACAAAAAAGTACAATACAAGTTCATTTAGCAGGTCAAGGTCAAAACTACAGAAAAATAGTTACTTGTTAAAACAATATATAGAAGATATAGAATAAAATATAGAATGCATAATTCTACTGATTTTGAAGATTTAAAAATTCATTTATGAATCAAATCCAAGCGGATAACCAAGATTTCCGTATTATGTACCGCGGTTATAATATGGTTCAAGATGACACACGGGATGGTGACGTCAGTTACTCGAATCGCTTGAACGCGTTGGTTTTAACCGCGGTTTGTTGCAAGTTGTTTATTTTAGAAAAGCGCGTATATAATTTCTGATTATTTTTATTATCACTTAATAATCGGTGCTTTTTCGTCTACAACGGGGTATGGAAAGTTGAAAAAAAGAAAACTTTCATAATATTAAAGGGAGGAATGTTTTTTTTTCCGAAAAAAATTTTTACTGATGGAACCATGGCTTTGTAGCTATGATAACTTTCAATTCTCTAAACTTTTCCGCATGTCAAAGAAAATATTTATTGATTTAGCAAAAATGATGAAAAAGCGATGAAAAAAGATATTAACAAAACCGTATACAGGTGGACATCATCCAGTGAGTTTATACGGCCAGATTTTAATATTCTTGTGGTATATGGCTATACAGGATACTTTTTTAAGTGTAGGAACTAGACTTAAAGTGTCCCCAACACCAGTGATGATTATAAATAATGCTAAAACTGAAGTCAGCCTGTATCAAGTTTCCCAAAATTGAAGCTGAAGTACAATAAAAATATCCAATACCCGGCAAAATTCTAACTTGTCACATGTCAAATAATAACCAGAAATATAAAACTACTCCGGAGTTGGGTAAATACCACAATTTTGCGGTGATAACTATGACATATAACAGCTGATTCGTGACGTCACGGATCTTATAACCAAACTGATAACTACAATCGCTTGAACGGATTGGTAAATACCAAGCCAAAATGGTAAATACCATTTCCATTTGGTTATCCCCTTGAATTTGATTATAGTCTATATGAAATTTAGTCGAAAGCTGGCATCGCTGTGCTGGACTGTCAGAATTATGTGCCAATAACCGTCAAAGTCAGCCGTCAAGTTTGACGTTTTTCTTTTCAAGTTTCTTCTTTGAACGAGCAAAATGGTAAATTTTTATTTAAATTTATCTTAATAATCTTTTCATATTTGAACATTTTAACTATTTTAAATTGATTTCTGATCGTTCTAATCTATATCATAACTAATATAATTCCTATTTCCAGTCTGCTCACAAGACATTTATCATCAAAAGGAAGCTTGCTAAAAAGCTGAAGCAAAACAGGCCTATTCCTCAATGGGTAAGAATGAGGACAGGGAACACAATCAGGTAAGAAAAAATAGAAAAATGCAACGTAACATTCCAAGTATCCAACTATTATTAATCGAGACCTAAGGTTTTTCTTGTGTGAGTTTGTGTCTAGCTGCATGGTTATTTATTCGTATACTTGCATGATTGATAGATGATAAGAAAATACTGGATTGTTAGCTTTTCTCTGTGCTTATGCTTACGATTTTGTTTATCTGTTTCAGATACAATGCCAAGAGGCGTCATTGGCGTAGAACCAAGCTGAAGTTGTAAACCTGTGCTATATTAATGATAGATTTAATATAATTTCTTAAATGAGGTGTGCGACGTTTGGTGAATAAATGAGTTGTTAAAAACAGGACATTAGACTTTTATTTACAACAAACATATACATCTTAATTTATCACATTGATAATATCATTGAAATCTGTAACAAACCATTTTGCCCTCTCCTTCACTGTATGTCTGATAACATTTCCACCAAATCCTAAAAAATTCAAAAATTAATATCGAAAAATACATTTCAAATTCCGAATACCTATAAAGGCATCTGCAGGAGGACATGCTTCCAAGTCGGTGGCCCCGTCACCAATCAAGACTACAGTCTTGTATCTTTTGGTGTCTTTCAAGTGTTGAATCGCCACAGCTTTGCCACCACTTTTTGATGTCGGGGCATTTTCGTCATATCCTGCGTAGTCGCCTAAAACAAATAGTTCGAATATTTGTGCTGAACATTCAATAGTTTCTCACCATTGAAATAAAATTTCATCCTATTGGCAAATACATTCTCTTCGGAAATGTTCAGTTTTTGTGCAATGGGTTCAATGATACATTTAAATCCTCCAGAAATAAGATAAACTGGTATTCTCTTCCTCTGTAGCAATGCGATTAATTTGCTGAAAATAACAATGCTAAAAAGTGTATCTGGCAATAAAAAATATCCTCTTACTCAATGTTAGGAGTTAAAGTAGCAGGCTTGGTTCGTATGAACTCATCGACTTGTTTTCTTGTAGGGTTCAAAATGCTCAGTCTCATTTTAAGAGATTCTTGGAATGTCATGCCGCCTCCCATAGCTTTTGTCGTGCTGAAAAATATGTTAAAATTACAACTGAAACTAAACATTCTTGAGCAGCTTACAGTTCTGTTATCTCCTTGTACTTTCCACAGAACCTGGCAAGTTCATCTATACCTTCCTCTCTAATAACAGTCGAGTCCACATCAAAACAGACAGCATCTGCATTTTTTAAAACGGCTTTTACTTCCTCTGCCATAGTTTCTTTAGCAGTCCATGTATTAAAAGACAAATATCTGCACTGAAATTTTGACACACAGCTTACTTTCAGATTGACAGAATGTTTGCTGGGGTCTAGTGGAATGTTTAAATAAAGTCATTATAATCAATTTTAATTATTCTATTACGAAATGCTACTCTCTGTGTTTGATAAATAATCCAAAACAAGTATTCGTCACTGGCTATAATTTCGTATCACCCGAATACGGTTTTATCACAGAATTGATAACTGGATAATATTCTAACTGCCACCGCATCTTCCAGTAAAACTGTATTTTCAACATTGAGTTTATTATCATTATGTGAAATAATAATAAAGCATATTTTTTATCTTCCTCATTTATTTTTTTAATTTCGAATTTACGTCAAGTTGGCACATTTTAGTAATGTCAATTGTCCATGCTCGAGCGCCATCTACCTGCGAAATGTGACGTATATCTGTCAAAAATTTCATTACATAACCTAACCTAATAACAAAAAATATTTTTGCTTTTTAAGCCTCCGTAGCCCCTTTTCAGTAGTTGTCTTCAAGATGGGAAACTCGGTGACAACTTACGCGACGGGCGGCTTTAATTTATATTTCCACCCTGAAATCACCCCCAGTCCCTTGGAAGAACCTACATTTGACCCTTTGATGGGCTTTGAAAACGGCCGAAAAGAAAGAGGTAGCTCATACATTTTATTAACTTGCATAAACTTATATCTGAAAACGCAGTTTCATGTATAAACATTGCTTGTTTTAAAGGAACCAACAAGTTTACCTTCTGTGAACCCTTTTATATGTTTATTGCAGTTATGATAGCAACAGAGGAAGAATTGCGTTCAGCAAAAATTCCGTTAGACGAAAGGGACTACTGTGCGCACCATTTGCTAGCTTACAGAAGTTGTAGAAGGGATAATTGGCCTTGGGCCGCTAAATGCCACCATGGAAAACATGCTTACCTTAATTGCAGATATGATGAGTAAGTGACTTTTTAACTATGAAAAAGTATTTTGTATGATGTTGTAGCCACTTAGCTTTTTTGATGATTGATTTTTTTTTTTCAGTTTTGTCATCAGGATGAAGGAGTATGAACGAGAGAGACGTCTCCGAGTAAAACAACAAAAGAAAGCAGCAGAAGAATAATGGAGTACAGTTGGATTTTTTAATGTAGTGTAAATCAATTTGGCGTATTGCTATAAAAATAAAGATTAGTTATAACTTGTTTTTGGTATAGAGCACAGTAAAAAATCTAATAACTTTTATAACAGACATGTTCTTGAAGGTAAATAAAATACCTCTCATCTAGTACAAAAAGTATTCAGAGTTGAAAGAAAAGATTAAAAAGTATTCTTATATGAATGTTCCACAAAAAGGTTTGATTATAACAAACCAGGTTTAACATTTTTATTGTATGATGATTTGGTTTCAATGGTTACCTTTTCAAGTACAATTGACACTTTTGCGGTTTCTCAAAATGATCCTTTATGTTTGGTTTGCTAAAGGATTACAATTTCTTATTGCAAAAATTGTCTTTTCAAATTTATTTTTTTATGGGAAAAGAAAATTGACAAGGTTTATTGTTTGTTTTATTCATTATAATTCCATTCCTTATAAAATATTGCTTAGCTAAGAAATTAACTTAAAAGATAATGTAAGATTAGATTCGATCTAGGGCTTCTATCATAACAATACTGTTGCCTCTTATCACCTGAAAAAGAATTAACATCACCTAAAAATACAGTAAGTTTTTGACTTGAAATTGAGCTTAAAAAATTGTATAATCCTTTGTGGTCAGATTTATCCCCTAATTTAATGAAATTCAACAAAATAATTTTGTTTGTGCTCAATCGCAAGCTGAATGCCTCTGTAAGACATGTATTATCGTCACAGAAATATTGGAATATCATCATGAATACATTTTTGTAATATGCAAGAGATACCTACCACCATACCAATGTTATTTTTTGAACCATCCCTACAATCTTCTACGGACTCGTCAACTACCAAATTCATGAAGGGATCAAATCCTCGTAAGATTCCCGTTACTTGTCGGCCCCCGTTCAGCTTCAAAGACAACTTTTTGTCCATGAATCTGCAAAAAACACATTATAAAGCGCTGAATCGATGTTAGTGAGCAATATTTACTTTTTTAACTCTGGAGGATGCGCTTTCGACATTGTTCACCCAATTTGTTAATTCTATTTTCAAAAATATAAAACGACGCTTGAAAAAGATAACCTCAATTGTCAATTATTCGAATGATAGATGACAACTGACAGTTACAAAATTGTAGTAATTCTAAAGCTTGAAAAAAAAGGCGTGGTCAATAAGATGAAAAGGCGTTGTGTTGCTGTATGTAAAACCACAGCCGACGTCAACTAGTGATGGAATAAATTATCTACAAAATTTACATTTTGCCTTTCAAATGAATTTGGATGCAATGTTTTATAATTTAATTTATATGCTTTCTTAACTACAGCTTCTTTTTCCAATTGATATACAGCACGAATGTCTTCAAATTTAGCATACTGAATAATATCATTATTGTCAAAATTAGGATATACAAAAGTTTTGTCTAGGTTTTTTAAATTAATCCAATTATTTCTGATACTCTTGAAAATATGCACAACATCATAAGTTAAATATATGTTCTTATCAGGATTATGAGGATTTGGAATAAAATAATTTTCTGATGAATCCTTTGCTAATTTCCTGAACATTGCTCTATTAATTCGGTGATTATCAGTAACAACACAAATAACTTCAAGTCCACATTTTTGAACTAAATTTATCTTTGATCTTATCCATATCATCGAAATTCTGGATAGCTTTTTCATGTTTCTCAATTGATTTTTGTTTTCTTTGCATTGGGTCAGTTCTTTTGGGTGCTTCAGTTCTTGAAAGATATGGTGGCAAGTTTGGGAAAATGGAGGGAACAGCATTTTCTTTCAATTTTGGATATTTCAAAGGTATATTATTTTGGACTGTTCCATCCGCCAAAACTATATTTTCTGTCCTGATGATATCCGATTCTCTAAAATGACGACTGCACACAGCTGAATATTTTGAAGGTGTCCAATTTTTTCTGGGAATTGCCATAAGCCATTTGTTTTTCAGACTTTCGGTACTTGGGAAGCGAAAAGTTGAAACATAGCTTTCTGTTTTCAAAGCAGAATTATAGTTTGCATTGCATAAAGGAACACAGCAACAACGAGGCATATTGTCTGCGTCAAATACTTGATAAATGAAAAAAGAAAAATGCAACCTGAATTTGCACGTTTTCAATAGTTGAAATCCTTAGCGTCCTGAGGCGCGAACAGCCACAGTCACACTTCTTAGTTTATTTTTAAAGCACAGAAGCACTACAACTGGAGTCTATTTCTCATATATTATAGTCACCGATCACTTTGAACACATACACACACACTTTGAAGCTTACAAAAACAAGCTTATCTCTTAATTACAGCCCCTGGGATTCCAAAATCACAAAGCGTTTTGAGCACGAGTTGCGTCGATGCAACAAGCAGCGGCGGGAGTAACACTACCACCTACGTTGCCAGATTTCTTTGTTCACGGCTCGTAGTTGACGTCGGCTGTGGTAAAACCACACGCTCTCTTGAGTAGACCACGCCTTCTTTCTTAGCTAACTGCACTGATCAAAGACATACGTTTCGAGCAAGAAAATTACCGTATCGTAACTTCTAACCCATCACCACCATTTTGCAAGTTATCTAACTCGAACAAAAATTCAAATTCTAAATTGAAACCCTCAGTTTGAAGAGTGGAACTCGCTTTAATAAAATTATGATATTTGATTATATATATTGGCTAATTCTGTTGTACTTAATTCAAAATGCTGTAACGAACAGGTGCATTTTTTTTTACGGATTTTACCAATTAGCACTTGGTTTAAAAAAAAAGCTAGGTAACCTACCTTTCAATCTACTTATAGGTTTTTGTTTTGACCCTAAAATTAAAAAAAAAAACAGGAGGGTGCAAATATTTATTCTTTTAAAATATGTTATTTTGAGACAGAAAATTTTTGAATATACGGGAATTTTATTTTTGAGTTTTTCCGTGGTCCAGTTATATTTCTTTTTCAATAGTTTTTTCGACTTTATCAAAAACTGCATTATTATACTTTTCATGTCAGAAGCTTGCGGGGTAATCTCATCATCACTTTTACAGCACTACATAATTTATTTGTTGTTGACATGTCGCACTTGTTTCATCTGTCATTGAATAACCTCAGAGGCCATAACTTCAAGTTGCACAAGGAACTTTTTAGAAGTCTGTCAACGCTTCTTATCTGTAGCAACTGTACGTCATATCGACCTCAGACAGACGTCATATCGACTTTATATTCGGTCTTTTATATATGTCACATTACACGTCATTGGGGCCGTCAATTGGGTGTGACACTAGACAGTTATAATGACGTCATGTTTGTTGGTCGGCGAACGTCAGTAGTGCCTTAAAAATGCCGACATTTTGACGTCACTATATTCACTAGGATATAATATCGAAGCCTACAAAATGACATATAAAATCGATATAATGTAATTTTTTAAGTTACGTGATATTGTTGCGGATAGCTTTGACGGTGTGTCACCACTCAACAAAAACAAGCTGTTTAATCTTACTTTTTATTTAACAAGTAAAAAAAGGAAATACAAAACGGCTTAGCTTCACTCTTTCTTGCTCTTTTTTTCATCATCCTTCATGTGCAAAAAGACGAAGGAAAATACGAACATGCCGAACATCATAGAGAACGCTCCCGTATAGTACGGATACGCGCTGACGATGAATCTCTCATACTGCGTATGCTGAAGAGGACGCACCGAGACCAGAGTAGAATTGTACAGCCTTGTGTATCTGAAAAAAAAAAGCAAAGAGTCGTTCATTTCGGCTGGTCGGAGTCCAGGTCACTGAAGACTTCATCTGGCAACTGGCGAGCTCTTGGTAGCAATGGGCCAAATCGCGCTAGTTTCATTTCTTGATTTGCCGCGCATTGATCAAGGTCAAATCTCGAAATTCTCACATTTACACGAAAATATGCAAATTGGATTATTCCAGTTCAGTGTGACACAATTTTCAAGAACTATGAAAAACGCGTTTTTTATGCGATTATAGTTCTCTATATGGAGTTATTAAAAAGAGACCCAAAAATCGGCACCTCGAATATTGATACTGGATGAGGAAACACCCTGTAAAGTTAAAGCATAAGTGGTTGACAATAATTATACATACCCAACTCTGTCGTATTCCACTTTGAACTGGTATACTCCGTATACGTCTGGAATCTTGAACCTAGCCTCGTACTCTCCACTGGGTTTACGTTTCATTGTAGTTCTTACAAATGGATCGATTCTTACAAATTCCAATTGGACGTCGTCGGCGGTGTACGGTTTCCACTGGCCATTTTCCAGGAGCTCGATCTCAGTGGTGTAAACCTAGAAACATTATGCAGTAATTAAAAAAATACAAGGAAAGGCGAAATTTTGAAAATACAGCAGACGCTCGATAACGTAAACACGGGATAATGAAAACTTGCGCTAATGTAAACACAAACTTCGTTCTATAGGATCAAACGGAGCGCGCGATAACGTAAACAATGTGTACGCTCGATAACGTAAACAACTCTCGGCGCACGGAAACAGCGCGACGGTAAAATGCTGCGCGCCTCGATGATTTATGTCGGGCGTCGGGGAGTCCCCGATTTATGATGTAGACTGTAGGGGATTCACTTCAGCGATAAAATACGACAAACTCGGTCAGTCGTATGATCGTTTAGGATACGTTTATACGTACGTATGTATTTCATTTTTGAACTTAAGTGAATACATTGCACGCGTTAATATATTTTACGACTACGGCATCTACATCCTATAAAAGAAAGTGTTTAAAGTTGAGTGTGAAAGTGAAAATCATAGACGAAGTTGCACTAGGTGCGGGAGTGACACAGTTAGCAAAAAAATATGGAGTATCGAAAGCAACAGTCTGTAAAATTAAGCGTGAGAAAACTCAAATTTTACAAAGAACGTGCAATACATTTGGAGGTCCGGGAAAAAGAAAAACTTTAAAAAATGCGAAGGCACCTAAAATGGAAAATTCCCTGTATAAGTGGTTTTTAAAACAACGGGAAAATCATGTCCCAGGTAGTGGCGAAGTACTTAAACAGAGAGCGAGACTGTTAAATGAAAAACTGAAAGAAACTGAAAATTTCGTAGCTAGTGATGGCCGGCTACAACGATTCAAAACAAGATATGGAATTCGACTGCTGTCTATATCTGGTGAAAAATTATCAGCACAACCACAATTAGTGCAACCATTCAAAGAAAAATTGATGAAAACAATTACCGAGCTAGATTTAAGAATGGAACAAATTTACAACGCAGATGAAAGTGGCCTTTATTGGAAAATGTTACCAGAGAAAACCTATGCTGCATCATTTGAAAAATCTGCCCCGGGAAGAAAGCCGGAGAAACAACGAATAACGTTTCTAGCCTGCACTAATGCTAATGGTTCACACAAAATAAAGCTACTGGTAATTGAGAAAGCAAAAAATCCGCGTTCATTTAAAAATGATAATATCGCTGTTGATTATGACTGTTCAAAGACCGCTTGGATGACTAGCAGTATATTCCTGAAATGGTTCCACAGGTGCTTTGTCCCTCAGGTATGACAATCAATTATCACAAATGCTCCATTCATAATTTGAAGATGTGTTTTCAATTTGTAGGTAAAAGGTTTCCTAAAACAACAGAAGCTTCCAATAAAAGCTGTTACTATTGGATAATGCACCAAGTCATCCTCCCGAGCAACAACTGAGGAGCAGGGATGGGTCAATGGCCCAACGTAACACCGTTAATTCAACCGATGGACCAGAATATAATAAGACTCACCAAACTATACAATAGGAAGTTTCTACTTTCGTCTGTCTTATCAAAGAATCCTGAAAACTTATCTGAGGCTTTAAAAAAGTAACATTACGAGAAGCTGTTTTAGATTTACATATGGCCTGGAATGAACTTAACCAGCAAACTATTCAAAAATGTTGGAACAATCTCTTTTGTACCAATAATGAAGATGATGAAGAAGACGATGTCCCCTTAAGCGTAATTAGAGAACGTTTGCGATCCAATAATGATAATGTTATTAGCGTTGATTTATTGAAAATAGTGAATCCCAACATTGTTTGTACTCCTGCTGATATTAATTTATGGAACGAAGATAAGCAGACGAATGATGCTGATAAGGAGGAGGGTATGGAGAGTGAGGATGATGAGA